CGAGGGGCGGCTCCTGCAGTGGCGGCTGCTCCAGTGGCCAGGGGCGGCTGCTGCAGGGGCGGCTGCTCCAGAGGGCAGGCGCGGATTAGGTCAGGTGGCGACGCCGCGGGCAGGGCGACGCGGCGGGCAGGTGACGACGCCGCGGGCAGGGCGACGCGGCGAGCAGGTGACGACGCCGCGAGCAGGGCGACGCCGCGAGCAGGTGGCGACGCCGCGGGCAGGGCGACGCGGCGAGCAGGCGACGACGCCGCGGGCAGGCGACGACGCCGCGGGCAGGCGACGACGTCGCGGGCAGGGGCTACGTCGCGGGCAGGCGACGACGCCGCACGCAGGCGACGACGCCGCGGGCAGGCGACGACGCCGCGGGCAGGGGCTACGTCGCGGGCAGGTGACGACGCCGCGGGCAGGCGGCGACGCCGCGGGCAGGGCGACGCGGCGGGCGGCGAGAGCCTGCAGGGGCGGCGCGCGGTCGGGCAGAGGCTGCGCGCGGGCCTGACGAGTCTGCAGGGGCGGCTCTCGGGCCTGACGGGCCTGCAGAGGCGGCTCGGGGGGGGCCTGACGGGTTTGCAGAGGCGGCTCGGGGGCCTGACGGACCTGCAGGGGCGGCTCGAGGGCGCACGAGGGCGCTCGAGGGCGCACGAGGGCGCACGAGGGCGCACGAGGGCGCACGAGGGCGCACGAGGGCGCACGAGGGCGCACGAGGGCGCACGAGGGCGCACGAAGGCGCACGAGGGCGCACGAGGGCGCACGAAGGCGCACGAAGGCGCACTAGCAGAGAAAGGCGCACGAGGGCGCACGAGGGCGCACGTAAGGTAGGGCGCACGAGGGCGCTTCTAGCGGAATAGTGGGCCCATAGTAGAAAGCGGTCCTACGTAGCAACCTAGGCTCGTGATACCATGTTAGAATCTAGAATAGAACGAGAATGGATGAAACTAGGTAGGAGGGGGATACAAGTAGGAAACCCTAACAAAGCTGTACCCCCTAAGGCTAAACCCACTATAGCCTACACAATATAAACATATAATGTTGGACAAAAGGTTACAGGCATGTTGGCTTGGGGGGTTATGGGCGCACTGACCCGCTACTTAACAAGCCCTTTTATCCCAATGGTCTAGTGGTTGGGATTCTGACATGGTATCAGAGCGAAGGTTTTGGGTCCGAATCCTAGTGTGTGCACTTCGGGCATCCCAGTGCGGGGGGTGTCAGAGGTCCACTGCAGGGCTCTTACTAACTATTTGGGCCGTCTGATGAAAAAGTAAAAACTTTTGTTTAGTCTGACCATCATATGAGGGATCCAAGGTGATCTGATTTTCATATGAAATATTTAAGGCCGTCTGTGAAACCAAATAAATCATTTTAACGTGCACACAAGTTTATGTGGATAGCGTAGTTGGTTTGATTTCAATACGGGTCTCGGCGGGTGATGGATCGATTCTTGCGAGGGATTATTGAGCTTACTTGTTTTCCCTTGAGGTTATCAGACAGATGTATCCTCGCTATCTGGAAACTCATACGAAATATAACCTGTGTTCTGAAAAAACAAATGAGTACAAACGGCTTAACTGGGCTCTCATATGCGCCGCGTCTTTTTGTCTTCGAGAACATATGAACAACAAAAAATGCGACTGAAATCTAGACCAACAGACTAAATTAGTCTGATAACGAGAGCCCTGGTCCACTGGTGATCCCCGATTGATCCTAGGGAAGGGTTACAGGCATGTTGGCTTGGGGGGTTATGGGCGCACTGACCCGCTACTTAACAAGCCCTTTTATCCCAATGGTCTAGTGGTTGGGATTCTGACACCATTTTCAAAATTAGTCTAGCCTAAAGCCTACTCCTCGTCCGATTCAGGCTCCGTGGAGTTGTTGCCAAAGAACCCGTCTGCTTGGATGTCGTCATCATCCTCTACCTCGTGGGACAGCTGACCTCTCCGGTGCGCCAGCACCAGTCCGTCTTCACTCCCGTCAAGGGCATTGCTGATGCCGAAGGTGAGGAACACTTTCTTAATCAGGTCGGCGGGCACAACTTTCCACGCCCGTGAAATCCACTTGAGCACCACCTCCGGAGGTGGTTTCTTGATGTTCCCTGCACCACATACACGGGGGTGGGAAACACGTGAGTCCACAAGCAGGCAGGCAAGCAGACGCTGCGGTCACGGGAGAACATTTTGCGTACCTGCGGGTGTCAAGATGTTCATGCCGTCCTGCTCGAACCAGGTCTGGTACTGCTGCCGAACACTCGCCTTGAAGCTTTTGTTGACCGACACATCGAGCGGCTACAAGTATGCCGTGCATCCCGCCGGGATGACCGCCGGCACGATGTTGAGTTCCGTGAATTTCGCCTTGACTTCGGGTGTCAGGTGTCCACAATAGGAGTCGAGCACCTGCATGGCGCTCCGGCTCTGCAATCCGAACTTCGGTTTCAGGAACGGCACCACGACTGCATCGAGCCACTCGATGACGCTCGAGTCCTCCATCCACCCGTTAGCTTGGCACCCGACCACGACATCTGCATACAAGCAAGCGGTGGTTAGATTTTACTTTTGTTTTTCCCCTCGGAAACACGTGCATACGCAGCTTCTTACCGTTTGGGAAGTCACCCTTTGGGAGGGTCTTGCTCTTGAAAAACACCCACGGCTTCAACTTCTCGCCCGTCACCGTGCACGCCAACATCACAGTGACTCTCTCTTTCTCGTAACCACTGGTGCGGATGGGCACCGACTTCACGCCCGTCTGCTCCACCGTGGTAGTCGCCGGCATCTCCAGCCACAAAGGCGTCTGGTCGGCATTGATGATGTAACGATTGTCGATGTCGTACTCGTGGCGTGCGTCGCGGACAAACTGCCAAAATTCCTTGCACTGCTTCGCCACGTCTACGCACGGGGAGGGAGGGACGGTTAACAGGGTGGATGAGCACCGCTACAGATAAACAGGCATAGGCAAGAAAGTACTGAGATACAAGATAAAATTTCACGATAGGATGACAGTGCACGAACAGGCACTTATGTTGCTGTGTCTTTTGCGCCACCTTTGTTCTCATGCGCACGGTGAGATTCCACCGCTTGCGGAACCGCTCCGTCCAGCGCTGACTCGCCTTCCACTTGATGTCCGGGAACAACACCTTCATCACCTCTTTTGACCAGTCTTGCAGCCGGCCGACTGATACTGCCGCACCGCGGCGTCGCCAGTCCAGGAGTTGGGCGTATACCTTCATCTCCATGGTTTTGTACCAGGAAGACCTTCCGCGCCCATGAAGTCGACAACGAGCGCTGTGTGCAGCCTTGAGCTCCTCCGCTTGGTTTTTCCACTCCGTGAGGCATTTGCGGTGTATGCCGGACTCCCGCGTGACCTCGCTTATCGATGCCGCAAGCTCCAGCCGAACGAGCCACTTCATTTTCTCCTGTGCGGTGTAGCGCTGCCGTTTGTGTTGAGTTGGCTTGTGCCTGGGAGAGGGGGGGCGGGCATCTCGGAGGGGTGGGACCGTTTTTTGTTAATCGGCGGATACGTTGGTATCGGCATCTTCTCGCGTGGTGCGTCGCGCCACCAAGATTCCACACCGTCGTCGTCCGCGTCTGTAGCTTCACGATCTGGGAACACGTCCTCCTCGGCGCCCTCTTCACTGTCGACTCCACCGTCGCCTCCAGCGTCGCCGTCGCATGTGGGTTGTTTATCGGCGGCCACATCATCGTCGGCGCCCACAGCCGACTCGTCCCACATGCAGGCTTCAGGATTTCCCCACCTCGGTGCAGTCGGCAGAGCATCGATTCGCCTAGCCTTGGGTGTGTCCGGTTCAGACAGCCACTTGTCGAAAGTGGTTGGCAAATACAGTTGGAGCACGGGCCGATGGTGAGAATTCGCATTAGGAACAGGAGGAGTCGGAGGATTCGGAGGAGCGGGAGGAGCGGGAGGAGCGGGAGGAGCAGGAGGAGCAGGAGGTGCAGGAGGAGCAGGCGGAGCAGGCGGTGCAGGGGGTGTAGGTGGCACTGGAGGCGCTGGTGGCTCACGGGTATACCACCCGTCCGAGGTTAGTCGCCACGCGCGAGTTGCTTTATTCTTGAAAAGGAAGTGCGTCCCACTGAATTCCGCCATGGCTTCGCCAGCCAGGCGGGCTAGACTAGAAACTGAATGAAAAAAACGAGGAGGAGGGTGCAGAAATGGGCAACGACCGGGACCCCTGCCAGCTAGCGGCTCGGGGTCCTCGTCAATGACAGGCAGGAAACCCCTGCCTACCCCCGTAGAGGAACCTGCGTGGCAGCATATTCGCTGTGCTGGCAGGGAATCTTCCCCACCCTTCAAGAGGGTTCGGAAGAAATGTAGATGTCACGCAGCGCATGCGGCTGTGATTGGGACACACAGCAACATCCCTGTCACTGCTGTCATGTTCGATGGTTCTAGACAACTTTGTGCGGTGGGAAACCGAACCGCAGCTGTTTTTGCCTGAAAACCATGCACGATCCCACTTGTTGCATGGTCCGTTGGATTCGCCTTGTTGCGGGCTTCAGAGTATGTTTAAAATTGAATTTCATTTCTTCCTTATTATAGGCGCATGCACTTATACAGACACCTCAATTAGAAGCGCACCACAGAAAAAAACACTGTTTTATTATAAGCGCACCTGCGCTTTTATCCGGGGTAATACGGTACAACATACAATATTACATTTGTGAAGGATGAGAGCCCTGAGGTAGAGTTCTACACCTTTTCCCATATGGAAACACTGTAGAATACACCCATCTCGAATTTCTCACACCACAAACCATATGAGCCCTTTCTACAGCCTCAAAAGTCTACCCCAGCCGAACCATAAAAGGGAAAATCAAATCAAGCCCTCATAATGAACCTAAAAACAAAGCATGAATGAAACGCAAACACACCTTTTCAAGGTGCACCCACATACACACATCATCTTCCCCATCCCACCCTTCCCCACTCTTCCCCTCCTCCCCTTTCTCTCCTTCTCCTCCCCCTCCCTCCCCTCTTGTTGACAACAAGCCCTCGGTTCAAGGACCGACTCTGTGATTCGTTCGGGTCTCCCAAACCTCGATCGAACCTAGCCCCGAACCTCCTGGTCTCTGGTCGTCCCGGGCCAGAAACAGCCTGTTTCCCCCGAAAGCCATGTCGTACACCCAGTGATCTGGGGGCGCTTCAAAGTTTACCCGTCGCCTCTGATATTCACCCATGGTGTCCCCATAGGTCTTTCGGAAGGAATATGGATCGAACCGTGTGGGAGGAGGAGCGGCGGCAGCAGCAATGCTATTGCCATGGCTACTACCACCAGTAGAACCAGCACCAGTGGCAGCAGCAGCAGCAGCAGCAGCAGAAGTCAAAGTATCAACACCAGCAGCCACTTCATCCCCTGTATTACGTGCTCCTGTACCCTCTAAAGGTGGCGGTTCAAACCCCCTTGCAGCCGCAGCCGCAGCAGTGAGCGAACCAGGAGTTAAAGCCCCTCTCAAGTACCCTCCCCACGCATCATCCCCACCTCCTCCTCCACCCCCTCCTCCCGCCCCTCCAAATCCCCCCATTCCCCCAATTCCCCCTATCCCACCCTGTCCACCCCCTACGGAAAAAGCCCCCCCTAATTTCTCTTCATCCATTGATGCCCATCTGCCCAGCCTGCCCGTGGCAACAGGAACAAACGGATTGCTGACCGGAGTCCACACTTCCAATGACGGGCAGCGGTTGCAAATGATTTGCGACCTGCCCGGGACGACGAGCAGGCGAATCGTGCTCGTTTCCACCCTGCCCGAGTCTCTTTGCGTGCTGGTTCCGCCAATCCGCAGCGAGTCGGGGGATTGCCATTGCATGACCGTCCAGCTGTCTTGACCAATCGAGGGAACCGGCCCTCCTGCTACAGGCACAGGCCCGGAAACTGCTGCTGGGCGATAAATGTTTCCGAACCCTCTACTGCTAGTAGCTGAGCTATCTGTAGGTGTGGCTGTGCTAGATAACCCTAAACCTGCTCCTCCTGCTCCCGCTGCTGCTGTTGCTGCTGCTGCATTGCCAACACCGCTGCCACTGCCAGCGCCACCCGCGCCAACATAGAAACCACCAGCACCACCATCATCACCACCAATCCCTGACCCAGAACCCATCTGAACCGCACCAACACCACCAGCACCACTGGGAACAGAAACACACGCACCGGCCGAATTGCCAGCAGGCAGCGGTAACTTTCTCAGGTCGAAAGCAGAGAGGCGGGAGGAGGAATCTGGAGCAGAAGGGGAGGCTTTGAGGAGCAGGGACAGGTCTTCGCAGGCTGTGGCGTCGCAGAGAGCACACCAGCGGTCGGAGGGAACGAGAGAAGGCTGTGGGTCGTCAAACTCACGCCAGTCCCACACCAGCTGGTTGCAGCGCGGGTCCCACAAGCGCAGGTAGGATGGACCTTCAGAGCCTCCCTGAACGCTAGCTGTTTACAAGGAGAGAGAAAGAAAAGAGCGACAAGGCATGGGTTAGAACGAGAGGAGGAGTTTGCGCAGGGCTGTTGAACTCAGGCCAGTCCCACACCAGCTGGTTGCAGCGCGGGTCCCACGGGCAGAAGTAAAACGGTTCCTCATGATTGGGAAGCACTAGAATTGGGGATGGGTATGGGAGGGGAAGGAGAGGGAAGGGTGAGAAGGATAGGGGAGCCTTTGAGGGACAGGAGAGGGATTCTCAAGCAGTGGCGACATAGAGAACACAAAAACGGTCGAAGAGGACGAGGGAGGGTCAAGGGTCGTCGAATTCACGACATTGAGACACCAGCTGGTCTCAGCGCAGGTCTCACAGGCAAAGGTAGGATGGACCCTCACTCTGCTCTTGTGGGACAGTGAAGATCCATCTTGCCTGCAGATGTGGGACCCGCGCTGTAACCAGCTAGTGTGTGGCTGGCGTGGATTCGACGACCCTCATTCTCCCTCTCCCCTGTTTATCCTTCCCTTCATTTCCGTTCCCATCCCCATCCTTGTGTTCTCATCGTGCAAGGAGTCGGAGCCCAAGGCAGCAGTGAGTGAGGATCCATCCTACCTGCGCCTGTGGGACCTGCGCTGCAACCATCTAGTGTGGAATTGGCGTGAATTCGACTGCACAAATCCATCGTTTCTCCACACTCCACCTTTACCGCTTTCCTTCCAAACCCCACATTCCCCTCCCACCCACCGCCCTGCCTTGTGCTCCTTTCCACCCCTTATGCGCACTGCCTTTTGTACTGCTTACTTGCTTCACTTGACAGCCAACCAGAGTACGCCACATGTCAGAACGAGATCGACTCACGGGTGTATCGGCGCGCAACCATGAGAAGGTTCCGGGATGACAGCCACTGTAGCTTGTCAGGGCCGCCCATCCGCCTGGTGGTGATGGGCGCCGGCCCCGCCTCCCCCACGCTCTGCAGCGTGCCCCGATCCACCACCCCCACCGCCTTCCCCACCCCCCACTCCACCCCGAGGGTCTTTCTCAGGCTTGCCACGAATAAGAAGCGGTCAGATTGAACAATGGAGCGGAATGATGGGTGGGAGGCCCCTCTAAGAGCTACGGAGCCGATTTTGCAGGTTGGCGGGAACGGGGAGGTGGCATAAGGGGAGGGGAATGTGGAGGAGGAGGGGAGGAGGGATGGATGGAGAGGGGGGGAGTAGAGGGGGTTGGTGGTGGGAGTTGGGTAGTGGGAGGCGGATTGGGGGAGGATGATTGGGGAGATGGATGAGGAAGGGGGAGGTTGGGTGAGGGTTAAGGGGGAGGGAGTGTAGGAGGAGAGAGATGAAGGGGAGAGGGATGGGAGGGCGGCAGGAGAGCCATAGTGGGAGAGGGAAGAGTAACAGGGAGAGGAATAATGGGACGAGGAATGGGAGGAAAGGGAGGGGGTATAGGAGGCGGAAAGTGCTGGTGTTGGGAGATAGCCATCGTCGAATGCGCTTGGGGTGGTGTTGCTGCTCTCATAGCCCCGTGTATCGTAGATGGGCAGATGATAGCAGCCCTTGCCGCCCCCCACGATGATCCGAGACTCTGACAACCGGCAGATGGTGTCCACCTGGCAGCACCGGATTGGGTGTGGTGTGGGTGTGAAATGGCAATGACAAGTGGGAGGAAGAGCATGAGATGAGATGCCACAGGTGTCAGGCCTGCGTGATGCTTTGCCTGTATTACTATTGCGACGTTTTTTTAGGCGCCTCAAAGAGGTCACAGGCTTGTGTAATATTTTGAACTGTATTGGTAACGAGAATTTATTAAAAAGTAACACAAGCGTACCATGGGGAGTGTTTCACCGCTCCCACACCACTTCCTCCCACACCCACCCGTCCCACAAACACCCCTACAGCACACACACCCCTCCCACTCACACCCCTCCCATGCATACCCCTCCCACATTCCATCTTTCACACCTGCGGAAGGTCGGTGATGATGGTGGCAGTGTGGCGCAGCATCCAGTCATAACACGTCACCCGGGCGCCATGTGCCACGTCAACAGAACCGTCTTCATGCGCGGCCAGGGCCGTGCACACGTCAGCAGGGCCCACGTTGGGGCGAAGAACGGAAGTCTGACCAGGACAGGGAGAGGGAAGAATGGAGAAGGTCGGGTGAGGGGGAGGGGGAAGGTGGAAATATTAGATTGGAGTTTCGAGAAGTCTCAGAACTAGATGGGACGAAAGGTTGAAACACTCGGAAAAGGGGTTTGAGGCGCGAACGGTTAGAAGGTCGTAGAGCCCTGCAAGGACCATGCGTACGTCAGCACGGGAAAACTTAATCTTGATTTGTTGTGCTGGAAAAATAACTCAGCGGAAATAGAGCTTACACACCTTGACCTGACGATTTTTGCTCATGAGTAAACTCCAACCACAATCAACAATGGAGGATAGAGCGAAATCCAGATCCAACTCACCTTGTGCATTTCAGTGGCACACCTACCACCTGTGTCCTGAGAGCCTCAAGAGACTCACCCTGTGCATCTCATTGCCTTCCAGAGCCGAGAACAGGAGCGCGGCCTTTGACGATGGCGACGACGACAACAATCCTTTCAGCGCACCTACCACTTGTGTTCTGAGGAGGCGTTAAAAGATCACCCACCCTGTGCATCTCATTGGCGTCCAGAGCAGGTGGCAGGAGCGCTCCCTTCACCGAGACGCCTACAATCCCAACATCACACTTACCACCTGTGTTCCTACCTCCTGTGTTACAAGGCAATTCCAAACCACTCACCTTGTGCATCTCATTGGCGTCCAGAGCAGGCGGCAAGAGCGCGGACTTAACAGCGTCCAGCAGGCCGAGATAGTCCGCGTCGCTAAGCACCGCATCAACGGTAACTCCAGACGGGATATTAAGAACACCGGACCGCAGAAAATTTAGCAACACGCCAAAAGTCTTCGGATCCCGGTCGATAAAAATCTCTGGTGTGTCCTCCTCCTCTTCCGCCATCCGTCTCAGGCGAGTTCCCGATGTGCGACACGTGTCATGATGGGATTGCGAGTCAGATTCGCGAAAGTGGGAGCGGCGAGCGTCGCGAGACGCCCAGACTGGGTCCAGCATGGCTCCTAGGAGCGACCAGCGACCCGCTAGCTCGAGCGTTTCGCGGGACGTTTCGAAGATTTGCCCACCGACATTGATTCTAATGCGAGATGACGACGGCATGATGGCGGACGGGGATACGAATTGTGAACAGAAAATCGGGCTAAGTGTTATAATTCAACTCGCCGGCGTAGCTCTTCAACAGTCGTAGTTACTAGTTATGCGTCCCTGCTCTAGATTCTGCTCCTCGGCTGCGCCAATCTCCCATCACATGGAACTGAAGCCGTCGGATGAGCTACAGCTGTCGGATGGACGATAGCTACTCTACGTTTTCCCACACTACGGCTTCGAAAGCATAGCACCGTTCAAGAAGCTCTCTTATCCTGGGAACGAGGAGCTAAAGAAACTTCTTCAAATGCGCAAGGATCCGAGTCGGGATGTACGGTTAAGCTGCTGAAATCCGCAAATTCATTCAAAACGCGTACGACTAATAATCAGCGTGGAGCGTGGCTTTCGTAAACTCAGAAATTTAATTGCTGACAAGTGTTGACTGCTCAAGCACTGAGGTTGCCTGTCAGTCACGGCGTCAGATTCAGCCTGTAATGCTCCAAAATTCAACCTGGCTCCTGGTCCTGAGAGAAACAGGCTACTGATGCTCGCAAGTTACGAGAATATCATTCATCATGAATTATGATGCTCGATGGCGAAACGGCTGATTATTCGAGGTCGATGTACTTGTTCAATCCAAGAAAGCTCCTCGTGTGACGGTGCTGTCTAGAGCTTGTCGGGAGCTGTGGTTTGGGATGGGATGGGGGGACTACGTACATGGACACACATGCCTGCCTGACTCCTGTTGAGACAACAACATACGGCTTGCGCAAAGCATGGGCATGTTGGTTCACGAGAAGCCCTCCGAAAACCTTTTGGTAACCCTGGGAACTGGTTAGGACATACCACATCTGAGCCGTCGGCTTATCGAGGATTACTGTTTTGTAAAATTTCGGACGTTTACAATGACCTCGAAATGGGGTGGCACTGTACAGTACTGCAAAGTTGCGATTGTGGCCCCACAGTATGGAAGACTCGAGTCGAGGCTGGAAGGATGGGGGGGAGGGGATGGATGCGGAAGGCAAACTGTTGTTTGCGGGCACGCTCCGCAGGGTGTACAAAGGAGGGGGGAGGCTGCGCAAACCGCTCTCATTTTCCCTAACCGTCACGCACCTACGCCTGGGTTGGGGTGCTTGCGCTCATTTTCCCCTGCCCTGCCCGGCCGCATTCGTTTTACAATTGCCTCCGTCTCTTCACGCGGCGCGTCAACCCTTGGTCGGTGGTTGCCTGCATTTTTGCCTCGTTCTCCAGCAGCGCTTCCATTCCAAGGTTGTTGTTTCGGGCTAGTTGTTGGTTTGGATAGCCGCTTGTTCACAATTTACACAGTCAAACAGAGTCAATAAGACAGTTGACAAAATCGAAGCGTGTAATAACGAAACATAATACACCACCGTGTTGCTTCATGATGTTGCATTGTACATCCTGTTCTCGCCAAGGAAAAGTTTCGTGCACCAGTTTCTAGCGGCTCTGGTTTGGCCACGTCATGGAAGTTCCCGTCCAACCACAAGGAAAGCCCAAGGTTCTCAGCAAAGCGGACGAACTTCCTGCTCTATGGAGGAATCAGGATGATTCAGAGTTCAGGACAGACCCTGGCCAGGGTATGACTGACTGATGAGGCAGAATTCAAGGCGCCAGGAACCAGGATTCAGCCTCGACCATTGTTCTTCTGGCTTTCCACATACCGTGTGTACACACCGTAAAGTTCGTCACGCAGCCTCACTGCTTTGTTTTCGCAGCTGTTTCTTGTTGAGATTCCTCTAATCAGCTGAAGCTGTAATGGCCACTCTACAGATTGTAGTATCCGGCGCCGCGTGCTTGATCACCCGACAAAGCATCACTCACTTCCCAACACAATCTCGGTCGTCAATTGCTCATAATGGAGCGCTTCCTCAAACTCTGACAACCACTTCCAATCATAGAGCAGCCAGGCTCGTTTGCAGAGCCAGCACTAAGCCAGCAAACGTTGCGTCGCCGTCGAAAGAGCTTTCTGGCGATCAGCTGCAGCAATGGCTAGAATGCAGAGGGATGCTTGAAACCCTTGGTCTCGAAACTGATGCCGCCGAAACCGTGCTCGCGAAAGCTTTCGGATGGACGGCCAGATCGTACTGGCGAGACGAGATCGTCAATGTCGTTCCGTCGCCGGATCAAATCTCATCCGTTGTTTCCTTTCTCAAAGAAACGGCCAGATTTCAAGATGCGGATTTTAAGAAATACTTTGGGGAATTTCCCCAAGTCTTGGCGTGCAGCGTGGAGAAGCGGCTGGCGCCAAATGTCGCTAAGCTGGACCGGGAATGGCGGATCAGCGGCGATTCCCTAAGGGGAGTGGTCCTGCGGAACCCTCTGGTGCTTGGATACACGCTTGACTGTAAAGGAGATTGCGAATCGGAATGTGACTATTGCTGGGCTCGTTTTTGAGTCCGTATGGCCAAGAATGTTATTGACACTAAAGCAGGCCTGTTTTTAAAGCCTCTGAAGCCATGAAGCATTTGTGAGCATTGTTGACTCTTGGTACGAGCAATATTTTAGATTATTGTTATGCAGACTGATCTTACCCCTAGATCAACATATCGCTGACCTGCAGGCCCTCAGAAGTCAGACTTTTTTCTCTGATTTGGACTTTTTTCTCTGATATTTCAGATTTTTTTTTCCTGTGTACTCTGATAAAATCAGACTTTTTTGGGCCTCAACTCTGTAATTTTCAGACTTTTTTTTAGGCTAACTTTGAGAGCTCAGAGTTTTCTGAGAGTGTACTCTGATGATTCAGAGTACAAACGCGTCCTTGACTGGTGATTCGGACTTACGGGTCACAGCAGATTCGCTGGTACTAATGGTACATGACGTTTAGCATTAAAAAATACATCTACCATATTAACATATGTATTTATTTCTATACTAGATGTCATGTATATATACAACATAATCACTGATCCAATACTAAACTCGACAAGGGTTTAATAACACAAATCAAGGTTTTGCATATGAAAACCTGACCTAGGCATTCTTATTTTATATCCCTACTTTCATTCTATGCGCAATCAATTCAACCTCTCGTAACGGATTTACCTGTATTGTGTTTCACTTTTCCTGTGTGCCACAAGTCCTTTGACGGAGTTTCTGTGCGTTTTCAGTGAAGCTGTAACAAGTATTGGCGCGAAAGGTAGGGCCACAGTGGTTTGGGAACAGTGGGCCGTCATGCCACCCGGAACGTGGGATGGGTTCGGTAGAAAAGACAAGCGCGCGCAGTGCGGAATCTGTGGTTGTGATGTACAGTGAGCGAGCAAGTGTAGGATGAAACACGTGGCTCATTGAGGGCTCGACTCCCTAACCTGAACGATAACCCTCCCCCCCTAGCCCAGCCTTTTGCGGAAACCATGCGCAGAAAGCGCTACCCCTGCCCTTTTAGCGGAGGGGTCCAGGTGCCTCTCCCCGCTAAGCTGAAAACCCTAAGAAAATCGACCTGACACAACAGGTTTGCACTGTCAGAGTACAACAATCTTCGCCCAATCACAGCAAAATCGCCCTGACATTGCAGATTCGCCCATTCGCACAAGATTCGCCCTGTCAGAGCATGTTTCGATGGCAGATGAATGAAACATTGAATACACTTCCGATGAAACATTGAATACATTGATTTTGAATGATCAGACTTTTGTTTTAAGACACTCTGAAATTTCAGCCTTTTTTCTATACCAGGCCTGAGATTTTCATACTAAAAGTGTGTACTAGTCTGACGAATCAGACAGGCCAAAAACGAATCTGAGGGCCTGCTGACCTGCTAGTGAGTATGGCAGGTTGGATAACACACATCCCCATGTGAGCTGGATAACACACAGAAGGCAAATGCCAAGAGAAGAAAGTGGTGTATCCCCTTTACAGACAGTCACCATTACCGACATCCACATCTCCGAAAGGGTACATTATAAGCACCCCCAACTCGCCCATCACTTGCTGGGTCGTTTCCCTATGAGCAGCTGCAATGCTTGCTGCGGTGGTGCCTCATCCTTCCCTGTTGCTGCTGGAACTGACTGCACCTTCACCTCCTTCTCCACCCCCTTTCCTTCAACCCTGTGCTCTCCCTTGACTTGCTGCTGCTGCTGCAATTTCTTTGGCTCTTCCTTGGTCTTTGCCAGCTGTTGCTGCTGCTGCTTGCCTGCTTCTTTCTGCTGTTTCTCCTGCACCTTCTGCTGTTTCCCCTGCACCTTCTGCTGTTGCTCTTTCCCCTGTACTTTCGCCTGTTGTTCCTTCCCCTGAACTTTCACCTGCTGCCCTTTCATGGGCGCCTTGTGCGCCACCTCCTTCCTTCTTGCAGCACCACCATCGCCTTTCTCTCCTCTTGCGCTCGCCCCACTCTCCTTACTGCCTCCACCACCAACCCCAGCACCACCACCAATCGCACCAATCCCAGTACCAGCAGCAGCAGCAGCAGCGCCACCAACCCCACCACCGCTGGCAGGGCCAATGGCACTGCCAACGGATCCTCTCCTCTTCAGCTGCCCCTCGCCCTGCTCCCGCCCCTTATCCTGCTCTCTCACAGCCTCCCTCGGCTTGGGCAGGCGTGATGGCGTTGGTATGGACGGCCTGTGAGCCAAAGGGGACTTGGAAGCCCCAGCAGCACTGGCACCAGCAGCAGCGGTGGTACCACCAGTAGCACCAGTAGCAGCAGGTGCAGCAACGCCCGCAGCAGCAGGAGCACGGCTGGCAGGAGCATTAGGCAGACCAGCAGCACTCAGTCCCCGAGCTCGAGCACCTGAACCAGCACTGCCATGCCCAGGCCCATGCCCATGCCCAGGCCCATGCCCAGGCCCATGCGCATGGGGATGCGGATGGGGATGGGCATGGGAATTGGCATGACCATGGGGAGGGTGGAATGATGAGCCCCCGGGCATGCGGTGTGACGTGCCGGGGTGGAATCTGGGTGCATTGGCACCCTTTAAATGCGCGTCCCACGGCTCTGCTGCTGTTGCTCCTGCTGCTGGCTTGCCCACACTGTCTCTGCTGGTGGACTTGCGAAGATCCCCTTGCTCTCCCCCGCTTGGCGAAGCACACACTGCAGCAGCAGCGCCAGCAGCAGCAGCGCCAACAGCGCCAGTAGCAGCACCGGCATCAGGAGAAGCAGAAGCAGGACCAGCAGCTTCAGCCCCATCCTTCCTGCCCTTCCCTCTATCCTCACCCTCCCTTCCCCCACCACTGCCCCCACCCCCAAAAACAGCCTGCAATCCACTCGTCCTCCTGTCGCCACCTCGCGCTGACGTGTACCTGGATTCTCCTCCTGCTGCTGTGTCAGCGACAGCACGAGGTGACGTCATCTGGGCAGATGGATGACTAGGGTGAGCTGATGACACGTGGCCATGAGGGTTACCCCCTGAGATACCCCATTCGCTTGCCGAGCCGTACCCTGCCGAACCATAGCCTCCCGAGCCTAACTGTCCTCCTGCCATACCTCCCATCCCACCCGAACCAAAACCTCCTACGCTCCCAGCTCCCCGACCCATCTGCAAGGCCTGGAACTGTGCTGCCCAGGCTGCCGAACCTGACCCGAACCAAGAGGGTGGGGTTCGGCCCATACCAAAATGCAGGTGCTGCGTCGACATGCCCCGGCCCATATAACCTCCCCCAGAAAACCCTCCCCCAGTAGCTCCCATTCCTCCCGAATACCCATACGCCTCTGCTGCTGCTGCGGCAGCAGCAGCGGCAGCAGCAGCAGCAGCAGGACCATACCCACCGCCTGCTCCCCCTGTCCCTCCTGCTGCCCCTGCTGCTGCTGCCGCAGCCGCTGCTACTGCCGCTGCTGCTGCCACTGCTGCTTGCGCCCCTCCCGGACCATGAAAAGGCGCCAGGTTAGGACCAAACCCTCCCGGCCCAGCACCTCCCGAGCCTCCTGCTGTGGCTGTAGCAGGGGCAGAGGACGGCGCTACAGCCGGCCCCTCCCTACTACCCCTCCTCTCCAGCGGCCCCTCTCCTCCTCCCCACTCCCCTGCCATTCCCCACTCCCCACCGCGTCCCCCATCCCTCCCAACCCCTCCCCACCGGTGACCATGCTCTGCTGAAAACTTAGACCTCCTAGGAGGAGGGGGGTCTTCAGCTCTAAATCGCCTGCTTCCATCCGAATCCCTCCTGTAGCCCTCCCTGCTCCCGTCGGCCCCTCGGGCTTCCGGACCTGCTCCCCCCTCGTCCCACTTGTTCCTCCTCATCCGAATCTCGGAACCCGTGTCGTCCCTTCGGTTTCGACCGGCGTCGTCAGCTTTATCACCACCACGGCCACCACTACCAGCAGAAGCAATATCACCAGTGGCAGGAGCAGCAGCATTATTAGCAGCAGCAGTAGAGGCAGCGCCAGCGGCACCAGCAGCAGCAGCATCATCAGCATCATTCTCCCCAGTGATATCCGTCATACACCGGATTCCAGGCAGCACAGGCCCACCATAAGGCCCCTCCGCCTCAACCTCCGCCTCAGCCTCAGCCTCAGCCTTAACATCTGCCTTTACCGTTTCTGACGGAACAGCGACACTTCCTTTCCCAGCACCACCAGTGCCTTCCCCTCCACCGCCACCGCCTGCAGCAGCAACACCCCCGCCTTTCCTCGGGCCAAAACCCGCCGCTGCTGCCACGCGTGCCGCTGCCGCCATTGCCTCTCCCGTTGCCTCCCCCGCTGCCACCACCGCATCCTCGAAACTCCCACCAGCAGCACTGCTGCCGCCGCCACGTGTCAGCGCGTCACTGGCCGCCTTCTCAGCGTGCAGGCGAGTGAAGGTCTCTTCGACGCGGGAGTGAATTTCCTCCCCCACGCCCCCAGAAAGAGGTGAGAGCATGAGGGTCCATGCGAAGCCAGACGCCTTTTCAACCACTGGCGCCCTGCAAGCGTGATGTAACAGCAGCAGGGGAGCCAGGTGCATAGAGCGGGAAAGAAAGGAGGGTTGGGAAGGGAGAGCAGGCGAGTGAAGGTCTCTTCGACTCGCGAGTGGATTTCCTCCCCAACGCCTCCGGAAAGAGGCGCGAGCATGAGGGACCACGCGAATCCTGATGCTTTCTCAACCACTGGCGCCCTGGATATGGGGGGGGTGGGGGGAGTGTGGGGGGAGTGCGGGTTGAGTGTGGGGAGAGTGTGGGGGGGAGCGGGGGGAGAAAGCCGGGGGTCGCGGTTTTGCCCTGGCATGAATTTCCTCTCTGACCCCCCTTCCCAGAGAGAGGAGAGAGCATGACAAACCATGCGAAACGAAACCAGACGCCTTCTCAGGCTCAGCCGCGGAGTAGGAAGAGGTTCGAGTGTACTTGAAATCCACTTGTAAGTGGAAGGAAGGAACCTTGTGTAGTGCTTCAAACACAGCTCCCATCGACTGCCTGTGCGTCGCGTATGTTTATGAATGAGGCGCTTCCAAAGGCTTGAAATCCACTTGTGACTGGAAGGAAGGAACCTTGTGTAGTGCTTCAAACAGCTTCCGAGTAGTAAGAAGTTTTCAAAAACCTTTTGAGCTGTCAGAAGTGCTCAAACAGATCCCATCATTTGTGTGTGTTGCCTAGGCTTCAAACACACACGTTCACGTTCTCACGCACTCGCTACCCTTCAAACCCACTTGATCGCGCTCAAACGCACTGGACCCCCTTTCGAATCCACTTGAGCCCCTTCAATCAACCCCCCCACTCACTCACCCCAGTTCCTTGTGCAGAGCGTCAAACAGCTCCCGCCGGAAATCACTTCAGAGAATTCTCAAAATGTCACTTTTGTGATTTCCATGTAGCTCCAAATCAAACAGCTTCCGCCGGTTGCGCGTGCGAGCGGCGCCTAGGCTTCATTCAAACACTGACGTCCACGTTCGCACTCACTCCAACCCCTTCAAACCCACTCAAACCCCCGCACATCTCACTCACTCCAGTTGTTTCCGCAATGCTTCAAATAGCTCTCGTCGGTTCCGCGTGCGGGCGTCATGAGCAGAGAGAGTTTCGCTGCCCTGCACCAGCTTAGCTGTGTACTGCCGCAGCTCCTCCTGAATGGAGATGGGGGACAATAAAGGAGAGGGGGGAGGAGGGTTGGGTAAAAGGAGTGAAAGTGGGGCGGGCATCGTGAGCAGAGAGAGTTTCGCTGCCCTGCACCAGCTTAGCTGTGTACTGCCGCAGCTCCTCCTGAATGGAGATGGGGGACAATAAAGGAGACGGGGGAGGAGGGTTGGGTAAAAGGAGTGAAAGTGGGGAGGGCGTCGTGAGCAGAGAGAGTTTCGCTGCCCTGCACCAGCTTAGCCGTGTACTGCCTCAGCTCCTCCTGTTAAAAGGGAAGAGGGGGGGGAATGGGAGACGAAGAGAGAAAGAGTAAGGAGCATATGGCGTTTCGCTGCTCTGCACCAGCTTAGCCGTGTACTGCCGCAGCTCCTCCTGTTGGATTGGAATAGTGCAGGCAGGCAGGGGGGTGGGTGGAGAAAGGGAGACGGGTGGGGGGGGGTTGGGTGGAGGAAAGGGAGAGGGGTGGGGGGGTTGTTGGGTAGGGAAGGGGAGAGGAGGGGAGGGAGGTGATGTGGTTTTGAGACGTGTCAAAACTAGAGGGGAGAGGGGGTGGAAGAAAAAGCGGGGGGGGGGGGGGGGGGGGGGTGGGTGTTGGGGTGCGGGAGAGTGTGCGAACATCATGAGAAGTCTTTTGAGTCGACTCAGTCAGCTAGTTATGGTTCTGCTCCGTGCGACTCAATGCCACACGGGGTGGTGGAGGGGGTGCGTGCATCATGAGCAGATAGAGTTTCGCTGCTTCGCACCAGCTCCTCCTGTCGCTCCTCGTGTCGCTCCTCCTGTTAGTCACACGGAAAGGAGCGGCGGAAGGGGATGGATGCGTGCGTGCGTCGTCTTTCGAATGTAGAATTCTAATAGGGGGACGCCATTTGAAATTGACGTCTCTGCACCCGCTTCGTCTTTTGAGACCCCCAAAAGAAGGGGAGACGTTAGGGGGCTAATGGGAGGGGGCGGGGGAGGGGGGGGGGAGGGGGGGAAGCTGCGCGTCGTGGGCCAATAGGGTTTCACGGCCCTGAGCCAACTTCGGGGTGTATGCTTTTGACTGGAAAAAAACAATTCTCTTATTAACATTACGTCGCTGCTTTGAGATCGAGCAGTTTTCGGTTGCTGCGCGAGTCGAACACGCCGTCGCGCATGATTTTACCCTAACAGGCTCCTAACGAAACATCGAAAACGATTATAACGCGTACATTATGCTTGAGGTCGAGCAAGATCCGGTTCTTAAGCGAATCAAACACGCCGTCGTGCATCATCTTCTGAAGCACCTCTTCCGGCGATACCGGCGCCGTCATCATCGGACCCACGCCGCCCGCCATGCCTGCTTCCCGGCTCGAACTCTTTTCCGGTCTGGTTCGGTTTCCTTTGGTTTGGTTTGCTCTCGTCGGGTCCAATCGGTCAGGCGCGCCGAGCGAGAATCCGCTGCTCTGCGCTTCGAATCGACTCAAGCGGACACTCGTGCCGTCACCACTGGAGCCGTCACTGAAAGACAGCCGCCGTGCCTGATTTCTTCCGAATATAATATTACAAAAATCTCCTTCAGGCATGTCGATGTAGTATAATGGTCAGTATCTCCGCCTGTCACGCGGAAGATCCGGGTTCGATCCCCGGCATCGGCGTTTCGCTTTTGGCAGGGGCGAAGGCGGTTGCTAGGATTTGGGGTTCATGTCTTAGGGTATGTTCCTGTGGAGACACTTGTCTCAATCCCCTCTTTTCCGAGTCGCGTCTACACATTTTTGCAATCTCGCGTCACAAAAAATGAGTGTATCACGAAACTGTGCGACCAGGCGAAATTTACAGCTGTGCTCATTTGATTGGATTTCAAACTTGACTGAACACCTGCTTCTTCAACTGTCTGGTTCGGGTGGGGTTTTGACGAGCGGAACTTTTTCCCGCGCGAGATTTTTACTGTGGAATGTCCAGGTGCATTGACATTTCGAACCGCGTACAGAGTTGTTGACAATGACGGGTCGATACGCAACTCGTCCGCGACATCAGCGCGTTTCACGCTGACAAATGAAAAATACATTAAAGTCGCACAAGGGCGACACGCGTTTGTGACATTGTACGTTATAAGCTGGTTTTACGCGTCACAAAAGGATTGAGACACAAGTGTCTCCACAGGAACGCACCCTTATAGGTCGTATCCCCGGCTGGTGGCAAGATTGGTTAGTGGCATGCCACCAATTCGGAAAACACGTGGAGGAATAAACCTCCTGGTGTCAAGAGGGGATGCTTCGGAAGTTGAACGGACGCGTCGCAACACCCGCTTTGCGACAACTGACAAATCGCCTGTCACCCAAACACCAGCAAAATTGCAAATCGCACACACAAATCGCCCGCGCGCCCGCCTGTCATGTGGTGACGCGAAACCGTCACAATTCCCGGCGGGAAATTGAAACACCACCAATTTCCCAACAGCCATGTGCAACAGATCCAACTTCACAAAGTCATAAACATCACAGACAATGGTTGATCTGCCTACTTCAGCAGATTACGACCACAACAGCTCAGCATCCAACAAGCTCACCAGCATGCCGCCTCGTAAAAGTCGTAGCCAGAAAGGCAAGCAGAAAGTAGACGATCAGAAGCCCTGGGTTGATCCTCCTTACGTAGCCTGGATGAAATCGCGTCAAGCTCAAGGAGCTGCTAACCCACGCATCGCAAACGAGGCTGCCGACAGCCCTCGATCTACATCCCAGTACATCGCGCACGGCGAGGACAGCCAAGCAGAAAACGTCAATGCAGATACGGATGTGGACTCCGACGATCTCGAGGAAATACTGTCCTCCAGCGATAGTGAGGCGGACTCAGACAACTCCGACGACGAAGAAAGCGAGGACGGGGAGGACGACAGAAACGACATGACTGCCCGAAAAATGGGTGGGCGAAAGCGTCGTAGAGGCAAGTCTGCTAATAAAAAAGGCCAATCCTATAACATGGAGTGGACGGATGAGGAGTTGGTTGAATTGGCAGCGGCTTGTTGGTATACCCGTGACGACATCAAAGCGATGAAAGGGAAGCAGGGCTCACAGTATTGGAAAAAACTACGGAAACACATGAAAAAGGCGAACCCTGATTGGGATCGTGAGAGCGGTGCCATGCAGCATGCTTGGAAGCGCATCATGGCGGAGTACCGCAAGTATGCGCGTGCCGACATGGGATCCGGCAACAAGGTCACCAAGAAACCGAAATGGTGGGGATACGTTCAAAATCTGAAGCACGGGACGGCTGCCGTGCGCCCACATGTGGTGGATGCCGGTGGCGCGGGAGAGACTAACGTGGACCCGAACGCGCAAATACCCGGCCCACATGCTTACGATGCCGGTCCGTCTGCTGCTGGTCCAAGCCAATCCCGCCAACCAACTCCTGTCCCTCTGGCTAACGGATCAGGTAAGTGCTTTTGTTATGGTAATCATGACGGCCTGACCATGAATATATTCCAAGTTGTACATGCAGTGCACATTGTACAAAGGGATGCCATGACATATACTCTCTACCTAGATGTGACCCCACTATCTACATCCCGATGTACGATCCTCACAGGTGCCGGCACCCCGGGAAGGACTCCGCGGCGTCGCGTCGATGAAACCGCAACCATGGGTGGTGCGCGTCTGATCTCGGATACGATCGTCGCCTGCACGAAAGAAGGCCTGCAGCAGTTGAACCAGATGGCTCAATATGTAGTAGCAGCAATGACGTTGGCTGCACACGTGGTGCCTCCGCCGGCGAACGCAGCCCGTCCTGGTACTGCACCCGCCAATCCTCAGCCGCCCGAGTGCGAAGCGACGGGCGAAGCGACGAGGACGGCGCACACTCTGTTTTCCGCACCAGAGCCGTGAAAATAGTAGGAAGAAGAGAGGATGCACTAGCAAGAATGAGGATACAAATAGCAAACCCTAGAAGGGTTGTACTCGCTATAGAGCACCCCACTACAGGCTAGAGCATAATATTCTGACACACCCCCATAGCCAAAGTGGGGTGTAATCAGCAAAGCAGTACAAGCTCAGGGTGGATCACAATGTCACCACACATTCTGAGCACAAGTTCAAGAAGCAATAGTTTAAAGTTTACAATTATGAGCACAGCTAGAGGCTATCGCAGAGGGCAAGTGAGGAGGAGGAGAGACTGTGGGGGAGAGAAGATGGGAGGCGACTGCTGACGCTGCAGACACACAGACGAGCTGCTGGCTCAGTGGCTACCGGAACAACGCTCCGGACTACTGGGGTAACTGGCCCCGCGGCTAAAAGTAGCGGCAGACGAGCAACGGACCCACGGGCGACTGGCGACTACCGGAGATTGTAGCCTCCGGACTGCTGCTGCTGCTGACGACAAGACTGCTGCCTCCACTCGACCTCCCCCAAACAGTACCACCCCTCCTGACACACACCCGCTGCTACACCGCTAGCTCCACTCCCCCTTCACCCCCCCTTAGCACCACTCCAACGGCTCCAACAAGTCCACCCCCCCTCAGCGGCAGCTGCAGCACAGGGAGACGGAGGAGGAGGAGGAGCAGGGAACGGCACACAGTAGTTTCACCCCCATACCCCTCACCCCCAAACCCTAATTCAGGAGAACGGGCTGTAGGAGGGGTGGGGCGCCAGCAGAAGCACGGGGGACAGCGGGGAGGGCAGGGGCAGCGAGGAAAGGGCCGCCCACGGGCCTGGCACAGCCTCCCGAACCGCGCGCAGGCGGCCCGAGCCGCGCGCGGGCCTGGCGCAGCCCGTACGGGCCGCGCGCGGGCCTGGCGCAGCCCGTACGGGCCGCGCGCGGGTCTGGCGCAGCCCGTACGGGCCGCGCGCCGGCTGTACGGGCCGCGCGCAGGCCACGACGGGCGACGGGGGGCGACGCGCGGGTCCCCGTCGCCCGTCGCAGCGCCTCCCGAGGGCGACGCGGCGAGTGACGGGGTAGAAGCCCGCCGCGCGCCTCGGGGCGCACAGCGGGCAGAGAACCGCCGCGCGCCACGGGGCGCACGGCGGGCAGAAAACCGCCGCGCGCCTCGGGGCGCACGGCGGGAAGAAAAACTGCCGCACGCCACGGGGCGTGCGGCACAGAAGGTAGTAGTGGAAGTTGCAGCGGAAGCAACGAGGTGGTGAGCCCACCCACAGGATCGATCCAAGGGGATCGACCTGCTCTGATAGCATGTGAAAATAGTAGGAAGAAGAGAGGATGCACTAGCAAGAATGAGGATACAAATAGCAAACCCTAGAAGGGTTGTACTCGCTATAGAGCACCCCACTACAGGCTAGAGCATAATATTCTGACAAGAGCAGCCGAATGACGCCCCGCGAGCGCCTCCTACACAGCCCCAGTAGGGCGCCGAGCCCGATGACGCCGGAGGTAAGCACGGTGTATGTGCTTTCCAAAGTGTTTGCGCCGTGCCTTCAGCGCGGCTGCAGTAGGCCGTGATATCTCCTGCCATGTATATCGTGTCATGCCTGATCGTGTCCACCATGGTGCGTCTTGACCCGTCCAGTATGACGGCCTGCGATTAACCGTCCGCATTCGTGGTGTGCCCTAGCATGTTAGCATGTTATGCAATATGATGATGCATGCTGTGCCCGCACATACCCTCCACAGTTTGCTTTCGTGGCGCCTGTCGAATAGGCGCCACCGGTTCTTCAGCGCGCCGATGGTCCGCTCAACGACCATGCGTGTGGCCGACTGCACTTTGTTGAAGCTCTGCTCCCATCTCTTCATTAACCGTTTCCGTGGTGCATGCAGCGGTGTAAGACAGTAATCTCGCAAAGGGTAGGCGGCGTCACCGACAAGTTGGTAAGGCGCGATTTCACCACTTTCAAGTCTTCGGGACAGAGCCGACTACGTGAAAACGCATTGGTCATGGTTAGAGCCAGGGTTCCCCACGTTGTAGTCCCAAATCATGCCCCGCGCATCACATGTAACTTGTAGCTGAACCGAGTAATGCGATTTCCGGTTATAATATTCCTGTCTGTGCCCCTCCATCCCGCGGACCGGAATATGGGTGCCATCTATGGCCCCAATCACGTTAGGGACCCCTTTCACAGCCCTGAAATCTGCAGCCATGGCTGGACGGGCTTCTGGCGAGGGAAACCTGACCCATTCTTGTTTGAAGCGGCGCGGGAAGTGCATCATGAATGCATCGACAAGTCGATGGAGTAGCGATTTAGAGATGCCGAATATGACAGACATGTCAACGTAAGATAACCCTGAAGCGAAATATTTGATAGGAATAAGGACACATAGCTGAATAGGGATGTTAAGACGTTCCACAAAGTAGGACAAGGGAACTTGCATGGCGTCAGTAATGTACGCAAGTATGTCGCGGGTAATGCGAAAAACGTCTTGAAACTCAACGTCGCTCATGAAGCAGAGGTCCTCTTGCCACTCCCGAATGCGAGTTTGACGGCGCCGGCGGCGGACTGAACGTCGCTCATTTGCTAGAAGCGCACCTTCCTCGTCAATGTGCCCAACCCTGGTATGAAGGCGTTCTCTCAGGCTTAGCCACTCTTCGGTGGCTTTAGCTACCATGGGCAACCACACCAGTGTAGTGTGTAATAGGCACACCACAGCTGTATGACGGCAAGTAGCGCAGCCGCGACATTAGGGTCCATGTTCCAGACAGAATGATGTGCTAGGATCGGCCCGGTGTTTCAGTTATGCGGGACTTCGGCATTTGTTAAATATAACTAACGGGAGTCTGGCCATGGGCCTTGAGCAGGTAGGAGTGTTCCATCGTGCAGGAGTGGTTGTTTACGAGGTGTCGAAATGGTGAAAGTGACCAAGTTACGTGCACTTGGTGCTGGCACGGAAGTTAGAACGTGGTGACGGACGTTGTTCTTTCCGAACGTGTGAGATGCCGGTTGCGAGGAGTTGCTGGTGAACATTCGATCGTGCAGATGGTCGCACTGCATGCGCTTGGTTTGACAATCCATTGCCGGTATATCGCCCAATGTTGGCAACATTGACACCAACCTGGAGCCGCGCTCACGCGCGGCTCCACTTGGTGGCAAGCGAATTTTCCGCTTGCCACCTACAGTAACTTGCCACGAGCCAGGGATACGACCTTAGTGAGAAATCCAGACCAAAATGTTCCATGCTTTTCAACCCCTTTTTTTCATAAGTCAGCGCAAACGGGGCGTTTTGCCTTTGGCTGAGGCGAAGGCAGGTTAGATAGAAACCTTGTGTTAGAAAACCAGACCAAAATCCGGATTGCTGTTCAATGCCTAGTGCATATAATGAGAAAGCACAACCGGTGTTGACTTTTCTGCCAATGTGTCCAACAGCATCTGCCCACACTCCTCAGATTGCTGCAATCACTAGCTCCTGCTAACGATTGCGCAAGATTAACCTGTTGGGATTATATGTCAGATGGTGACATGGCAGATGCTGATGTGACGGAACGGTAATCTGGTGGATGACGATGGGGCAGATGGTGATGTGGCACGAGATGACATGGCGCTAGAAGTTGAGGTACTGTTGAAAGTAGACGCACGTTTGAGGAGACATTATGCCTCCATCCGAGCACTCGTTGATAACCTGAGATTGTGACAATAGTGAAGGAAACGAGTAAGGGGAAAGATGAAGGGGACAATAAAGGGAATTTTCTTGTGATTAACTGCAAATATCAATCTACCAAGTGGGGAGCCCTTAATGAATATCCACCATTCAAACTCAACAAGGCAGGGAAAGTTGGAGTATGTTAACAAAATGAAGATAGGATGAAGGGAATAGTTTAGTTTAAAGAATACGAATAATGGAATATTGGGATGCACAAAAAGCACAAAGCCGGAAAGGGCAAAGGATTCAGCACAAAAACAATCATTCGAACCGAAACAGTCACTCACAAGGCAGAACCCAGGAGGTATGTTGGTGAATGTGGAGGCAGCAGAGTTGGGCAGTCAAACAGGCAGAATCTGAAGCAGTGACTCACAGGGCAGACGCCGCAGGGTATGTTGGTGAATGCGGATGATTCTGGAGCTCGAGACCTCGATGGCCGGTACACCTCTGCTCCCTGGCAGGTGGGGTACGGTGGAGAGAGGTGTGGTGGAAGGTGGAGGTGTGGAAGAAGGTGAAAATGTGTTGGAAAGGTAGAAGGGTGTGTTGGACCTTCGGGCGTGGATAGAAACTATCCATTCTTCTCAGGGGTTTCCTGAAGGGTTTCCTGAGGGGTTGCTCACCAGGGGAAAGCGGGAATCCTTGCCGGAGCAAAGCAGAGCCGGTATTCATGAACAGCGACGGCGACTGATACACATATAGTGGGGAGGGGAATCAAGAGTGGAGGAGAAAAAATGCTCACCACGGGGAAGCGGGAGTCCTTGCCAGAGCCAGTGCTGATGAAGACGTCCAACTCTCGATCAAAGACAAGAGTGCTGATGACCTGATGTGGTGTGGTGTGTGTGTGTGAGGGGGGGGGGGGGGAGGGGAGACAGAGCGATAGGAGGGTGAGAGTCCTTGCCAGAGCCAGTGCTGGTGAAGACATCCAAATCTCGATCGAAGACAAGAGTGCTGATGACCTGATGTGTGTGTGGTGTGGTGTGGTGTGGTGTGGCGGGTGGAGGGGCCAGGGGGGTATGATTGGATGAAGCACGTGGCATGTGGCATGTGGCATGTGGCATGTGGCATGTGGCTAGTCGTTTGTGGGTGTCAAACATTGTTTGAGAAGTTCCAAAGAACACACCGATTTGTCAAGGGCCACCTTCAAGCCAGCCCTTGCTCATGAAACGTCCATTCCACTCCCTTCCTCTCCCTTCCACTCCTCTCAACTCCTCTCTGATCCTCTCTCCACTCCATTCAACTCCTTCCCACCCATCTGTCTGCAGTTTTACCCCACTCGCTGGCCCCACTCTGCCCCAACTGTGCCCCAAATCTGCCCACACTCTGCCCCAATTGAACCCACTGTGCAAGAGGACTCAACTAATCAGTCATACACCCCTCCCTCTTCCCTCTCCCCTCTCCTCTCTCCTCACCTCACCTGTCTGAACCTTCCATTCTCACGTCCTCCCTTCCCCGTTTCAAAGCAACCACTGTCATACACCCTTTCCCTTTCTCCCCTCTCCCCGCCTCTCATCCCACCAGTCTAAAGTCTTCCCTTCTCAAGTCCTCCCTTCCCCCACTGTCCCCATGGTGCCTCACTGCTCTTCTCCCTTCCACTTCTCTCCCTTAATCTCCCCCCTCCTCCCACCCACCTGTCTAAAGTCTTCCATTCTCAGGTCCTCCCTGCCCCCACTGCCAGCCCTCCTCACGGCCTCCACCACCCCTTCGAGCGTATCGCCTCCCTGCGCACAATGGGGGAAAGAGAAGAGAAAAAATGGAAACGGGAAACGAAAGGGCACGAGAGTCTGCCCCCACTGCCAGCCCTCCTCACGGCCTCCACCACCCCCTCGAGCGTATCGCCTCCCTGCGCACAGGAGGGAAAGCGACAGAGTACAAATGGAACGGGGAAAAGAGAAAGACAAGGGCATAAGAGTCTGCCCCCACTGCTAGCCCTCCTCACGGCCTCCACCACCCCCTCGAACGTATCGCCTCCCTGCTCACAGGACGGAAAGCGCGAAGGAGGAAAAGGGGAAAGAGAAAAAGGAAAGGGAAGGACATAAGAGTCCATCCCGAATGACAGCCCTCCTCACCGCCTCCACCACCCACTCCCTCCCAACGTATCGTCAGTGTAACACACCCCTTCTGTCACCTCCCTCTAGAACCACCGAGCCACCGAGGCACTGAACCGAGCCACTGAGCCACCGAACCACCGAGCCACCAAGCCACCACCAAGCCACCAAGCCACCACCGAGCCACCAAGGCACCGAGCCTCCGAGCCACAAAGCCACCAGCCCCACACCATTGTAGATATGTGCTAACAGCAAGGCACATGTATCGTATCATCAGCTTGACTATGTGTGTTAAAAAATCCCCACCCTTCTCTCTCCCCCTCGTCACGTCCTTAGAAGCACAACCAGTGGTACACACATATAGTACTGTATAGCCTAGTTCTGACTGAGACGCCTCCTGTCACCTCCCTCTAGAGCCCCTCCCTCCCTCCCTCCCTCCCTCCCTCCCACCCTCCCACCCTCCCACCCTCCCTCCCTCCCTCCCTCCCACCCTCCCTCCCTCCCTCCCTCCCTCCCTCCCTCCTCCCTCCCTCCCTCCCTCCCTCCCTCCCTCCCTCCCTCCCTCCCTCCCTCCCTCCCTCCCTCCCTCCCTCCCTCCCTCCCTCCCTCCCTCCCTCCCTCCCTCCCTCCCTCCCTCCTCCCTCCCTCCCTCCCTCCCTCCCTCCCTCCCTCCCTCCCTCCCTCCCTCCCTCCCTCCCTCCCTCCCGTACCAGCTTGACGATGTGTGTCAGGCACAGCTGCCTTAAAGCCGAAATGAACTCGGCGTCGAATTCAGCATCGGTGTACCATGCGCCTCCTGTCACCTCCCGGGATGGTTCGAGCTCATACAGCATGTAGAGCTTGCGACTCTTGTTCTGCAAGAGTGCAGAACCACAGGGAGCACAGGGAAGCACCGGGAAGCACCGGGAAGCACCGGGAAGCACAGGGAAGCACAGGGAAGCACCGGGAAGCACAGGGAAGCACAGGGAAGCACCGGGAAGCACCGGGAAGCACCGGGAAGCACAGGGAAGCACAGGGAAGCACCGGGAAGCACAGGGAAGCACAGGGAAGCACAGGGAAGCACCGGGAAGCACCGGGAAGCACAGGGAAGCACCGGGAAGCACAGGGAAGCACCGGGAAGCACAGGGAAGCACAGGGAAGCACCGGGAAGCACAGGGAAGCACCGGGAAGCACAGGGAAGCACCGGGAAGCACAGGGAAGCACCGGGAAGCACAGGGAAGCACCGGGAAGCACAGGGAAGCACCGGGAAGCACAGGGAAGCACCGGGAAGCACAGGGAAGCACCGGGAAGCACAGGGAAGCACCGGGAAGCACAGGGAAGCACCGGGAAGCACAGGGAAGCACCGGGAAGCACAGGGAAGCACCGGGAAGCACAGGGAAGCACCGGGAAGCACAGGGAAGCACCGGGAAGCACAGGGAAGCACCGGGAAGCACAGGGAAGCACCGGGAAGCACAGGGAAGCACCGGGAAGCACAGGGAAGCACCGGGAAGCACAGGGAAGCACCGGGAAGCACAGGGAAGCACCGGGAAGCACAGGGAAGCACCGGGAAGCACAGGGAAGCACCGGGAAGCACAGGGAAGCACCGGGAAGCACAGGGAAGCACAGGGAAGCACAGGGAAGCACCGGGAAGCACAGGGAAGCACCGGGAAGCACAGGGAAGCACCGGGAAGCACAGGGAAGCACCGGGAAGCACAGGGAAGCACCGGGAAGCACCGAGAAGCACCGGGAAGCACCGGGAAGCACAGGGAAGCACCGGGAAGCACAGGGAAGCACAGGGAAGCACCGGGAAGCACCGGGAAGCACCGGGAAGCACAGGGAAGCACAGGGAAGCACCGGGAAGCACAGGGAAGCACCGGGAAGCACAGGGAAGCACCGGGAAGCACCGGGAAGCACAGGGAAGCACCGGGAAGCACAGGGAAGCACCGGGAAGCACAGGGAAGCACCGGAAAGCACAGGGAAGCACAGGGAAGCACCGGGAAGCACAGGGAAGCACCGGGAAGCACAGGGAAGCACCGGGAAGCACAGGGAAGCACCGGGAAGCACAGGGAAGCACCGGGAAGCACAGGGAAGCACAGGGAAGCACCGGGAAGCACCGGGAAGCACAGGGAAGCACCGGGAAGCACAGGGAAGCACCGGAAAGCACAGGGAAGCACAGGGAAGCACCGGGAAGCACCGGGAAGCACAGGGAAGCACCGGGAAGCACAGGGAAGCACCGGGAAGCACAGGGAAGCACCGGGAAGCACAGGGAAGCACCGGGAAGCACAGGGAAGCACCGGGAAGCACAGGGAAGCACCGGGAAGCACAGGGAAGCACCGGGAAGCACAGGGAAGCACCGGGAAGCACAGGGAAGCACCGGGAAGCACCGGGAAGCACAGGGAAGCACCGGGAAGCACAGGGAAGCACCGGGAAGCACAGGGAAGCACCGGGAAGCACAGGGAAGCACAGGGAAGCACAGGGAAGCACCGGGAAGCACAGGGAAGCACCGGGAAGCACAGGGAAGCACAGGGAAGCACCGGGAAGCACAGGGAAGCACCGGGAAGCACCGAGAAGCACCGGGAAGCACCGGGAAGCACAGGGAAGCACCGGGAAGCACAGGGAAGCACAGGGAAGCACCGGGAAGCACCGGGAAGCACCGGGAAGCACAGGGAAGCACAGGGAAGCACCGGGAAGCACAGGGAAGCACCGGGAAGCACAGGGAAGCACCGGGAAGCACCGGGAAGCACAGGGAAGCACCGGGAACCACAGGGAAGCACCGGGAAGCACAGGGAAGCACAGGGAAGCACCGGGAAGCACCGGGAAGCACAGGGAAGCACCGGGAAGCACAGGGAAGCACCGGAAAGCACAGGGAAGCACAGGGAAGCACCGGGAAGCACCGGGAAGCACAGGGAAGCACCGGGAAGCACAGGGAAGCACCGGGAAGCACAGGGAAGCACCGGGAAGCACAGGGAAGCACCGGGAAGCACAGGGAAGCACCGGGAAGCACAGGGAAGCACCGGGAAGCACAGGGAAGCACCGGGAAGCACAGGGAAGCACCGGGAAGCACAGGGAAGCACCGGGAAGCACAGGGAAGCACCGGGAAGCACAGGGAAGCACCGGGAAGCACAGGGAAGCACCGGGAAGCACAGGGAAGCACCGGGAAGCACAGGGAAGCACCGGGAAGCACAGGGAAGCACCGGGAAGCACAGGGAAGCACCGGGAAGCACAGGGAAGCACCGGGAAGCACAGGGAAGCACCGGGAAGCACAGGGAAGCACCGGGAAGCACAGGGAAGCACCGGGAAGCACAGGGAAGCACCGGGAAGCACCGGGAAGCACCGGGAAGCACCGGGAAGCACAGGGAAGCACCGGGAAGCACAGGGAAGCACCGGGAAGCACCGGGAAGCACCGGGAAGCACCGGGAAGCACCGGGAAGCACAGGGAAGCACCGGGAAGCACCGGGAAGCACAGGGAAGCACCGGGAAGCACAGGGAAGCACCGGGAAGCACAGGGAAGCACCGGAAGCACAGGGAAGCACCGGGAAGCACAGGGAAGCACCGGGAAGCACAGGGAAGCACCGGGAAGCACAGGGAAGCACCGGGAAGCACAGGGAAGCACAGGGAAGCACAGGGAAGCACAGGGAAGCACCGGGAAGCACAGGGAAGCACAGGGAAGCACAGGGAAGCACCGGGAAGCACAGGGAAGCACAGGGAAGCACCGGGAAGCACAGGGAAGCACCGGGAAGCACAGGGAAGCACCGGGAAGCACAGGGAAGCACCGGGAAGCACAGGGAAGCACCGGGAAGCACAGGGAAGCACAGGGAAGCACAGGGAAGCACCGGGAAGCACAGGGAAGCACCGGGAAGCACAGGGAAGCACCGGGAAGCACAGGGAAGCACCGGGAAGCACAGGGAAGCACCGGGAAGCACAGGGAAGCACCGGGAAGCACAGGGAAGCACCGGGAAGCACAGGGAAGCACAGGGAAGCACCGGGAAGCACCGGGAAGCACAGGGAAGCACCGGGAAGCACAGGGAAGCACCGGAAAGCACAGGGAAGCACAGGGAAGCACAGGGAAGCACCGGGAAGCACCGGAAGCACAGGGAAGCACCGGGAAGCACAGGGAAGCACCGGGAAGCACAGGGAAGCACCGGGAAGCACAGGGAAGCACCGGGAAGCACAGGGAAGCACCGGGAAGCACAGGGAAGCACCGGGAAGCACAGGGAAGCACCGGGAAGCACAGGGAAGCACCGGGAAGCACAGGGAAGCACCGGGAAGCACAGGGAAGCACCGGGAAGCACAGGGAAGCACCGGGAAGCACAGGGAAGCACCGGGAAGCACAGGGAAGCACCGGGAAGCACAGGGAAGCACCGGGAAGCACCGGGAAGCACAGGGAAGCACCGGGAAGCACAGGGAAGCACCGGGAAGCACAGGGAAGCACCGGGAAGCACAGGGAAGCACCGGGAAGCACAGGGAAGCACCGGGAAGCACAGGGAAGCACCGGGAAGCACAGGGAAGCACCGGGAAGCACAGGGAAGCACCGGGAAGCACAGGGAAGCACCGGGAAGCACCGAGAAGCACCGGGAAGCACCGGGAAGCACAGGGAAGCACCGGGAAGCACAGGGAAGCACAGGGAAGCACCGGGAAGCACCGGGAAGCACCGGGAAGCACAGGGAAGCACAGGGAAGCACCGGGAAGCACAGGGAAGCACCGGGAAGCACAGGGAAGCACCGGGAAGCACCGGGAAGCACAGGGAAGCACCGGGAACCACAGGGAAGCACCGGGAAGCACAGGGAAGCACAGGGAAGCACCGGGAAGCACCGGGAAGCACAGGGAAGCACCGGGAAGCACAGGGAAGCACCGGAAAGCACAGGGAAGCACAGGGAAGCACCGGGAAGCACCGGGAAGCACAGGGAAGCACCGGGAAGCACAGGGAAGCACCGGGAAGCACAGGGAAGCACCGGGAAGCACAGGGAAGCACCGGGAAGCACAGGGAAGCACCGGGAAGCACAGGGAAGCACCGGGAAGCACAGGGAAGCACCGGGAAGCACAGGGAAGCACCGGGAAGCACAGGGAAGCACCGGGAAGCACAGGGAAGCACCGGGAAGCACAGGGAAGCACCGGGAAGCACCGGGAAGCACAGGGAAGCACAGGGAAGCACCGGGAAGCACCGGGAAGCACAGGGAAGCACCGGGAAGCACAGGGAAGCACCGGGAAGCACAGGGAAGCACAGGGAAGCACCGGGAAGCACAGGGAAGCACCGGGAAGCACAGGGAAGCACCGGGAAGCACAGGGAAGCACCGGGAAGCACAGGGAAGCACCGGGAAGCACCGGGAAGCACCGGGAAGCACCGGGAAGCACAGGGAAGCACCGGGAAGCACAGGGAAGCACCGGGAAGCACCGGGAAGCACCGGGAAGCACCAGGAAGCACCGGGAAGCACAGGGAAGCACCGGGAAGCACCGGGAAGCACAGGGAAGCACCGGGAAGCACAGGGAAGCACCGGGAAGCACAGGGAAGCACCGGGAAGCACCGGAAGCACAGGGAAGCACAGGGAAGCACCGGGAAGCACAGGGAAGCACCGGGAAGCACCGGGAAGCACAGGGAAGCACAGGGAAGCACAGGGAAGCACCGGGAAGCACAGGGAAGCACAGGGAAGCACCGGGAAGCACCGGGAAGCACAGGGAAGCACCGGGAAGCACAGGGAAGCACCGGGAAGCACAGGGAAGCACAGGGAAGCACCGGGAAGCACAGGGAAGCACAGGGAAGCACCGGGAAGCACCGGGAAGCACCGGGAAGCACAGGGAAGCACAGGGAAGCACAGGGAAGCACCGGGAAGCACCGGGAAGCACAGGGAAGCACCGGGAAGCACCGGGAAGCACCGGGAAGCACAGGGAAGCACAGGGAAGCACAGGGAAGCACCGGGAAGCACAGGGAAGCACAGGGAAGCACAGGGAGCAGAGAGAGACATTGGGTAAGGTAATGGCATCAGAGCATCGGTGTACCACGCGCCTCCTGTCACCTCCCGGGATGGTTCGAGCTCATACAGCATGTAGAGCTTGCGGCTCTTGTTCTGCATCTATGATGGATTTGACGCGCTCAGCGTTTTGACTCTGAGTCAAAACGCTAGCGTTTTGACGCTATTGACGCCCCCTGTCCAAGGGGCACCCCCAGTTTGACGCTCTGGCGGGCAGGCAAAAAACAATCCCGGGCAGGGGTAAAAAAAACTGGGAACAGGGGGGTTAGTAAGAGAGGTTGGGGGGGGTGGTGGGGCCGGAGTTGTAGGACACATGGGGCAGTCATGAATGGGGTTTCCAAAGGAGACTTGTGGTGAATTAGTAGGGGATGGGTTGGGTTGAGTAGTTTCATAGGGGTGGAGGGTGGTTTGGCTGTTTTGGGACCTAAAAATGTCGAGTTCAATTTGGCGGGTCGTGTTTTGAGCGCGGAATTTCGATTTCGATTTTTTTTATCGGGCTGCCCGAAAAAAATTACCAGTAGAGTCAAGCGTCAAAACGGATTGACGCGTCAAGGGTCAAAACGCCACGTTTTCACCCTTGACGTTTTCAGTTTTTGGAGTCAAATCCATAGTTCTGCATGGGAGAGGGAGGGTGTAGATGCATATGTGAATTTACGAGGTAAGATAGGGGAAGCAATGGAACGACAGTGTAGGATGGCTCGGGCTCATATATATTGTAGCAATTGCGGTCAGGAAGAGAGAGGAGCAGAAAGTGCGAGAGTGAACAAAGGACAGAGAGGAAAGAAAATAATGGGAGGGCATTGGAAGGGAGGTGTGGAGGACGGAGATGTAGAGCTTGGATGAGAGCAGAGGGAGGGAGATTTTGAGGCGCCTCAAAATACACCTCACTGCTCGCAGAGATGTAGAGCTTAGATGAGAGCAGAAGGAGGGAAGGCGTTGGAAGGGACGTGCAGAGTGGCTCAACTTGACTTGACTGGCTGCTTTGATTGACTCACATTGACCGACTTGACTGCCTTGATCAGCTTCCTGCCCTCCAGCGTCTTTATGATCTTGGTGATCTGCGGCTGCTGCAGGTTGACTGCTTTGTCTCTCATTGACCGGCTTGCCTGACCTCTCTAATATTGAATGCTGTGACTCACGGTGACTGCTTTGACTCACATTGACCGACTTGACTGCCTTGATCAGCTTCCTGCCCTCCAGCGTCTTTATGATCTTGGTGATCTGTGGCTGCTGCAGATTGGTTACCTTGACTCACGCTGACGGACTGACTTTACTGCCTTGCCTCAAGTTGGCTCACATTGACTGCATGGACTCACATTGACCGACTTGACTGCCTTGATCAGCTTCCTGCCCTCCAGCGTCTTTATGATCTTGGTGATCTGCGGCTGCTGCAGATTGGTTACCTTGACTCACGCTGATGGACTGACTTTACTGCCTTGCCTCAAGTTGGCTCACATTGACTGCATGGACTCACATTGACCGACTTGACTGCCTTGATCAGCTTCCTGCCCTCCAGCGTCTTTATGATCTTGGTGATCTGCGGCTGCTGCAGATTGGTTACCTTGACTCACGCTGACGGACTGACTTTACTGCCTTGCCTCAAGTTGGCTCACATTGACTGCATGGACTCACATTGACCGACTTGACTGCCTTGATCAGCTTCCTGCCCTCCAGCGTCTTTATGATCTTGGTGATCTGCGGCTGCTGCAGATTGGTTACCTTGACTCACGCTGACGGACTGACTTTACTGCCTTGCCTCAAGTTGGCTCACATTGACTGCATGGACTCACATTGACCGACTTGACTGCCTTGATCAGCTTCCTGCCCTCCAGCGTCTTTATGATCTTGGTGATCTGCGGCTGCTGCAGATTGGTTACCTTGACTCACGCTGACGGACTGACTTTACTGCCTTGCCTCAAGTTGGCTCACATTGACTGCATGGACTCACATTGACCGACTTGACTGCCTTGATCAGCTTCCTGCCCTCCAGCGTCTTTATGATCTTGGTGATCTGCGGCTGCTGCAGATTGGTTACCTTGACTCACGCTGACGGACTGACTTTACTGCCTTGCCTCAAGTTGGCTCACATTGACTGCATGGACTCACATTGACCGACTTGACTGCCTTGATCAGCTTCCTGCCCTCCAGCGTCTTTATGATCTTGGTGATCTGCGGCTGCTGCAGATTGGTTACCTTGACTCACGCTGACGGACTGACTTTACTGCCTTGCCTCAAGTTGGCTCACATTGACTGCATGGACTCACATTGACCGACTTGACTGCCTTGATCAGCTTCCTGCCCTCCAGCGTCTTTATGATCTTGGTGATCTGCGGCTGCTGCAGATTGGTTACCTTGACTCACGCTGACGGACTGACTTTACTGCCTTGCCTCAAGTTGGCTCACATTGACTGCATGGACTCACATTGACCGACTTGACTGCCTTGATCAGCTTCCTGCCCTCCAGCGTCTTTATGATCTTGGTGATCTGCGGCTGCTGCAGATTGGTTACCTTGACTCACGCTGACGGACTGACTTTACTGCCTTGCCTCAAGTTGGCTCACATTGACTGCATGGACTCACATTGACCGACTTGACTGCCTTGATCAGCTTCCTGCCCTCCAGCGTCTTTATGATCTTGGTGATCTGCGGCTGCTGCAGATTGGTTACCTTGACTCACGCTGACGGACTGACTTTACTGCCTTGCCTCAAGTTGGCTCACATTGACTGCATGGACTCACATTGACCGACTTGACTGCCTTGATCAGCTTCCTGCCCTCCAGCGTCTTTATGATCTTGGTGATCTGCGGCTGCTGCAGATTGGTTACCTTGACTCACGCTGACGGACTGACTTTACTGCCTTGCCTCAAGTTGGCTCACATTGACTGCATGGACTCACATTGACCGACTTGACTGCCTTGATCAGCTTCCTGCCCTCCAGCGTCTTTATGATCTTGGTGATCTGCGGCTGCTGCAGATTGGTTACCTTGACTCACGCTGACGGACTGACTTTACTGCCTTGCCTCAAGTTGGCTCACATTGACTGCATGGACTCACATTGACCGACTTGACTGCCTTGATCAGCTTCCTGCCCTCCAGCGTCTTTATGATCTTGGTGATCTGCGGCTGCTGCAGATTGGTTACCTTGACTCACGCTGACGGACTGACTTTACTGCCTTGCCTCAAGTTGGCTCACATTGACTGCATGGACTCACATTGACCGACTTGACTGCCTTGATCAGCTTCCTGCCCTCCAGCGTCTTTATGATCTTGGTGATCTGCGGCTGCTGCAGATTGGTTACCTTGACTCACGCTGACGGACTGACTTTACTGCCTTGCCTCAAGTTGGCTCACATTGACTGCATGGACTCACATTGACCGACTTGACTGCCTTGATCAGCTTCCTGCCCTCCAGCGTCTTTATGATCTTGGTGATCTGCGGCTGCTGCAGATTGGTTACCTTGACTCACGCTGACGGACTGACTTTACTGCCTTGCCTCAAGTTGGCTCACATTGACTGCATGGACTCACATTGACCGACTTGACTGCCTTGATCAGCTTCCTGCCCTCCAGCGTCTTTATGATCTTGGTGATCTGCGGCTGCTGCAGATTGGTTACCTTGACTCACGCTGACGGACTGACTTTACTGCCTTGCCTCAAGTTGGCTCACATTGACTGCATGGACTCACATTGACCGACTTGACTGCCTTGATCAGCTTCCTGCCCTCCAGCGTCTTTATGATCTTGGTGATCTGCGGCTGCTGCAGATTGGTTACCTTGACTCACGCTGACGGACTGACTTTACTGCCTTGCCTCAAGTTGGCTCACATTGACTGCATGGACTCACATTGACCGACTTGACTGCCTTGATCAGCTTCCTGCCCTCCAGCGTCTTTATGATCTTGGTGATCTGCGGCTGCTGCAGATTGGTTACCTTGACTCACGCTGACGGACTGACTTTACTGCCTTGCCTCAAGTTGGCTCACATTGACTGCATGGACTCACATTGACCGACTTGACTGCCTTGATCAGCTTCCTGCCCTCCAGCGTCTTTATGATCTTGGTGATCTGCGGCTGCTGCAGATTGGTTACCTTGACTCACGCTGACGGACTGACTTTACTGCCTTGCCTCAAGTTGGCTCACATTGACTGCATGGACTCACATTGACCGACTTGACTGCCTTGATCAGCTTCCTGCCCTCCAGCGTCTTTATGATCTTGGTGATCTGCGGCTGCTGCAGATTGGTGCGAGTCTTCATGTCCCGCGTCCATATGCCTGTGTGTGTATCACATGTCACATCACAAGAAGGCGGATAGGGCAGCAGTGGGGCCGGCACGAGAGGAGAGGGTGATGTGGGCTGGTGCAGGTTGAGATCCCCCGCACATATCGCATGTCTTTGCTTTTGAAATTTCTCAAAAGCAACTCCAACTTTGTATCACAAAAGGTGATCGTCTGGACTCAACCCAACCCCTTGAAAGCAGAAAAAAGCGTGCCTATATGTGCGTGGCTTGCCTATATGTGCGTGGCTTGCCTATATGTGCGTGGCTTGCCTATATGTGCGTGGCTTGCCTATATGTGCGTGGCTTGCCTATATGTGCGTGGCTTGCCTTCCTACTTGCACACATGCACTGTCCCTTGCACACATGCACTGTCCCTTGCACACATGCACTGTCCCTTGCACACATGCACTGACCCTTGCACACATGCACTGTCCCTTGCACACATGCACTGTCCCTTGCACACATGCACTGTCCCTTGCACACATGCACTGACCCTTGCACACATGCACTGTCCCTTGCACACATGCACTGTCCCTTGCACACCTGCACTGTCCCTTGCACAAATGCACTGACCCTTGCACACATGCACTGTCCCTATATGTGCGTGGCTTGCCTTCCTACTTGCACACATGCACTGTCCCTTGCACACATGCACTGTCCCTTGCACACATGCACTGTCCCTTGCACACATGCACTGTCCCTTGCACACATGCACTGTCCCTTGCACACATGCACTGACCCTTGCACACATGCACTGTCCCTTGCACACATGCACTGTCCCTTGCACACCTGCACTGTCTCTTGCACACCTGCATTGCCCGCTTGCTTAATAGCTTGATACAGAAGGAGATCTTCTGGACTCAACCCCTTGAACCTGGTGGAATGGGGATGCGGAGGGGGGGTGAATTGAACTGACAGGTTTGGAATGGCAGGTATGGAAAGGGAGGTACGAAATGGCAGGTATGGTGCGGGAGGCAGGCATGGAATGGGAGGTATGGAATGGCAGGCATACGGACGGAAAAGCAGCACTCACTGCACTGCCTGGTCTTGGCTGCCGTGCTTGTACAGGAACGTGTCATCCTAGTTGTGGTAGCATGTTACATTGCCGCATTGCTACATTGACTCATGAATAATTGATTTATCATGACCAGCAGCACTCGCTGCACGGCTTGGTCTTGCCTGACGTGCTTGGCTCGTACAGGAGAGAGTGTCGCCTAATTTGGTGGTTACATTGCCGCTTTGCAAACAGTGAAGTGAAGTATGGTTTACATCGATTCCTCGTTACCAGCAGCACAGCACCACTCACTGCACGGCTTGGTCTTGGTCTTGGCTGACGTGCTTGTCCAGGAGCGAGTGTCACCCCATTCGAGGCACCTTGTTTCATGGCCGCATTGCTACAATGACTCACGGTTACTTGATTAAACACCACCAGCACCACTCACTGCACAGCCTGGTCTTGACTGATGTGCTTGGCTTGTACAGGAGCGAGTGCCACCCCATTTGAGGTGGCACGTGGATTTCTCGCATTGCTACATTGAATGGATCATTACCATATTGCACCACATTGCACCATTTTCACCAGCACCACTCACTGCACGGCTTGGTCTTGTTTTTGAGTCGACTCAAAAGCATTGCTACATTGAATGGATCATGACCGCCTAGCACCATTTTCACCACCAGCACAGCACCACTCACTGCACGGCTTGGTCTTGGCTGACGTGCTTGTACAGGAGAGTATCACCCGATTTGAACAGCTGAAGCGCTCTCTAAAGAGGATAAAACACACAGAGCAGACCACAGGGATCCGGAAAGCAAGAAAGAGGAGATGGGAAGATTTCTGCGATGCTATGAGACTGAGCAGGTGAAGCACTCTGTAAAGAGGATAGAACAGAGTGCAGCGGCGTTGCCTGACATTGATGGTAGTAGCCCATCAGTTATGGCACTGTCTCGGTCGATCGGCACTGGCGGCAAGGCACGCATGCATCCCCAATGATATACAGGAAGAAAACCACAAACAACCGCGCACAACCGTGCACAACCGCGCACAAGTGAACGTAGACACAAGAGCCATACCCTTTGCAGCAGCCCACTGATGGCATTGACCGAGTCAACCACTGACTCGGTCGACTTTTGAGTTGACTCAAAAGTCAAGCCTTTGCAGCAGCCCACTGATGGCATTGACCGAGTCAACCACTGACTCGGTCGACCAGAGGCGGCACGCACGCCTCCCCCCCCCCAGTCATACACACGAGTGTATGGTATTCTTCAACAACCGCACACAACCGCAAACAACTCCACACAACCGCACCACAGGAGCCATACCTTTTGTAGCAACCCATTGATGGCACTGACTCGGTCAGCCAGAGGCACGTATGAGAGCTCCGACTCGAGAATCTTATCCGATAGACCCTGGATTGGATTCGTTGGGGTGATGAGGCGGGTAAAGAGCATAACGGTAAGGCAGCCAGAGGCCAGAGGCACATATGAGAGCTCTGACTCAAGAATCTTATCCGATAGACCCTGGATTGGGTTTGATAGGTTGGATAGGACCAAAAAAACAAATCGAGGCTGATGAGGAGCATAACAATGTGCCGGCCATAAGCCAGAGCGGCATACGAGAGCTCCGACTCGAGAATCTTATCCGATAGACCCTGGATTGGATTTGCTGGGGTGGATTGGAATAATCCTGGCCTGGATGAAGTGCTGGGATACCAACATACCACTGAAGTGGATAAGATAAGATAAGATAAGATAGAATCGAGTTGGATAGGAGAGCAATGGATTGGATACGGAAGGGCAGCGACTAGCTAACTTCTGGAGCAATTCGGGAGCTTCTCAGAAGCTAGCCACGTGTAGAGAGGGTTTTTTTCTAGACGTCTCAAAAACACCTTCTCAGGAGCTACCACGTGACCCCAACCTCGGAAATCTCCTGGCTATCATTCCAAGAAGGGCCTTGATTGGTCAGTTCACCGCTTTATCCTAACCGCGGAATTCACGCTTGCTTAATCCCAACCTCGGGATTATCCTGGCACTCATTCCCAGGGGGGTGTTGATCTGTCACTTCACCGCATTTACCCCTTATCGTGGGATTTATACCTCTTAAAGCCCTACCTCGGGGTTTTCCTGGCACAGACAGCTCCAGGATGCTCGTTTCCAGTGATGACAGCGATGACCCCGCCAACCAAGCCCAGCCCAGCTACAACACCTTCTCTCGAACCACATCGGTTGTTTCTCTTGAACCCATACCTCGCAGATCTCGTGACTCCCTACCTCGGGGTTCTCCTGGCACAGCTCCAGGATGCTCTTTTCCAGCGACGACAGCGATGACCCTGCCATGGCTTCCAAATAGTAGCTTCTTAGCAGTAGTCGCTTCCAAGCCTCCTAGCTTCCGCGCCTCAGATCACAACTTCCAAGCTTCAAGCTTCCAAGCAGTTCCCCCAAACTCCTTCCTCGGAGGTGACTAACTAACAACTCACAAGCCTCCTAGCCTCCAAGTCTCCAAGCCTCATACCCTCCAAGCCTCTAAGCCTCCTACTCTCCAAGCCTCCAAGCCTCCTAGCCTCGCAGCCTCCAAGCCTCCTAGCCTCCAAGCCTGCAAGCCTTGTAGCCTCCAAGTCTCCTAGCCTCCTAGCGTCCCCCCCTTGCTTCTTCCCTTGTGATTAAGAGTCTATTAAGGGTACAAGCTTGCTAGCCTTCTTACCCCTAACCTAGCCTTCTTTCCTTCTTCTCCTAGCAAGTCCCCCCTCTTCAAACCCGTCCCCCTTTTCTTCTTTCTCCTCCTCCTCCTCCTCCTCCTCCTCCTCCTCCTTCCCCCCTTCCTCTCCGCACCCCCCTGCTTTTCTTGGAATCAGATTTCTCTCCCGGCCTGAGCTGAATACGCGGCGAGAAAATAACTAATGCGCTGCTGCCAGAACCAAGGGCTCACGTGCTACCCGGCAGATCGTCTAGACGGCTCGCGTGCGGCCCGGCCGATTGTGCTGACGGTTCGAGTGCTGCCCCGCCGACTGCGATCTAGCCAGCACGATTGCCGGGTAACACACTGCGCTATCGAAGTCCTGACACGGTCAGCTCAGACACTGTCTCGAAATGCCACTCCCCGCCCTGCCCGTCCCAATCGTTTTGGCCGGGACGTTCGAGTCTGAGATGTCTCAACTCAAAACGCGAAAAGCCGCTTCAGTGTAGGCGAAACGGCAAGAGACGCGTGCTTATCACTAGCAGCGACGTAGCTGGACACGCTAATCGTTCTGCGGGAATTTGCTTGGCGCACCGACTAGGGGAACAACCGCTGAGGTATTTACGACTGAAGTGGGTTCGTGATTTGGGTCCGAAGCAGCAGTTCGAGATTTGCGAATTGACCCGAACCACGCCGATCCTCAGTAATTTAAAACTTGGGACTGGTTGCGATTCATGGGATGCTGACCATTCAGGGGGCTGCATTTCAGTTTGCGGTGCTAGTAGTTGGGTAGTTTAACTAAGCACAAAATTGTCAAATGGCTCTTAACAAAGTAGCAAGCTCATAAACCCCCAGAAAATGCAGATTCCTCTCTCTCGCTGAAATGGTTCATTGCTGCACGACCCTTCGGCGCATCTGAAAACCGTTCCGCCTTGAACTTGCCGATCTGATCCTAATTCGGAAAACCGAACAAAAATATTAATAAGGAATTTTGAACAAACTCGGTTCTATAGACTGTTGGGCTTGCTCCACTCCCACAACCGCGAAAAATCCGCTACAAAATGCATCCCATCCCATCACATCACATCAACATACGTCAATCTCTAGGTGAGGGAATTACGGGAGGCTTAGTATGCGTTCATCGATTTATTAGTGGCAACACCTCAAAGCTCTACGATTAGGGTTCTTTTCTCTTTACCACGTGCCTTTTTGGTTTCTTCACCACGTGCTTATCCCACTTAGCTTAGCTGCTCTCTTGCCGTCCATGGCGACAATGGCGGGTAGCAATGATTCGGACGCAGCAGGCGAACCCTCCGCGTCCACCGCTAACGAACCCACGGGTTTCGACGCGGCTCCAGCCACGTTTCAAGAAGCCCCATCCGCGTTCCAAGAATCTTCGTCAAACGCAGATGGTGCATCGAATCAGCTGCCAGAATCTACTCCTCAGGGTCCCACGGGGACATCGATCGGTCCCGACTCGGCGACGTATTCTGGCGAACCGGCAACATTCAATAACGAATCTGCACCGTATAACGGCGACTCGGCGACGTATGATAACGAATCTGCACCGTATAACGGCGAATCGACAACCTACGGTCAAGATTCGTCGCAAGATCAGATCAGAGACGGAGGAGGATCCGAATCAGATCCCAACCTTCCGTCATCCTTATCCGTATCTTCCAGCCTCCCAGCGTCCCTATCCGCCTCCTCGCCATTTCCCGCCGTAATTGCTCCGCAAGGAATCAGCCCCGCGCCATACCCTCCTCAGAACATGGCTCTCTCTCAGCCTAGCCCGGGACCCCAGGCCGTTCCTGTAACGAACGTGATCTCTCCTTATCAGCACTTTCCCGGATCGTCACCGGATCAATACCCGTCGTTATTTCAGCAGTACCAGCCGTGGAACAGCCACGCGGGGGGCCCGTTCGGGATGCCTCCGCTGCTCCCCGGCGCCCCGCAACAGTTCCCCCCTGCCTCCCCGCAACAGTACTCCCCCGCCCCCCCGCAGTTCCCCCCCGCATCCCCCCAACAATTCGCCCCGCCGTCCCCGCAGTTTCCGCCGGGGTCCGCGCAGCAGTTCCCCCCGGCCTCCCCGCATCAGTTCCCCCCAGCATCTCCGCAGTTCCCCCAGGGCTCCGCGCAGCAGTTTCCGCCGCAGCAGTTTCCGCCGCAGCAGATGTTCGGAATGGGGTTCGCGCGCGGACCTCCGGGGCAGTTTTCCCCTTCCCCCAACTTCTCTCCGCCAACCATGTCCGCGCAAAACGTCCCCCCCGGTCTGGGCGCGCAAGCCATGAGTCCGCTGATGGGTCCGCCGTCCGGTTTCGGGCCCCATAACATCCCCCGGAACGTAAATGCTAACGTTAACGTTAACGTAAACGGGCCCGCTGGTTACAACGCTCCCGGCCAAGGGTTTGGTAACCCGGGTCAGGGTAGTTACGCGAATCGGAATCCTAATAACCCTAGAAGAGGGCCGTATCAGCAGCAGCAAAAACATCATCAGCAGCAGCAGCAGCACGGGCAGCAGGGAAATTACCGCAATAACCCCCCGCACATGCAGGGAAACGCTAATTATAACCATGCGAAGAACATGGACGAATTAGAGGAGATGCTAAAGAAGCTGAATCCGGATGCTAAGGCGTATTCTCCGCCTTCGGGGGGAGCTGGGGGGGGAAGAGGCGGGGGAAGGAGGGGGGAGGACAATAGGAGCAACGGCGGAGGGAGGGGGAAAGGGGGTCGAGGAGAAGAAGGCGGAGGAGGATCCGGGGGAGCCGGGGCTAGAAACGAAGACGGTCAGCAGCAGGGTGACGTGGCTGCTTCCGCTGGTGCCACGTCAGCACGGAACGGACAGGTGTCTCCGAATGGGAGGCAGCAGGGGATGGAGGGGCGGCAGAGTCAGCAGCAGCAGGGGCAGATGAAGGTGGGTTGTGGTGGTAACCAACCAGTACTTGAGGTTACCTTGTCACCGTTAAGGCGTTTGAAGTCGTTTCATTTCATTTCATGTGTCAAGAGATTAATTGCATGCTGAATTCTCTTGACCCTTGCTTCTTTCACTTGAAAGAAGGGGCAGAGTTAGGTGCAGAGAGGGCAGAGAGAGGGGCAGAGAGGGCAGAGAGAGGGGCAGACGAGAGGGAGAGGGAGAGGAAAAGAGAGTGGGGCAGGAGAGAGGGAGAGAGAGGGGCAGAGAGAGGGGCAGAGGGACATGCCGTGTCGATGCTACATGCCTTTTTTCGTACCAATGTTATTTCAAACCATTTCCCATGCCATACACGTGCAGAATAAAGGCTCTGGCGCTGGAAATGCGGGGATGGGAGCGGGTGGTCCTGCTGGTGGAGGGGGTGTTTTTGAGACGCCTCAGAAACTTACTTGTGTCCCGTGCATCTGTTTCACACGTGCAGAATAAAGGCTCTGGCGCTGGAAATGCGGGGATGGGAGCGGGTGGTCCTGCTGGTGGGGGTGGGAATCAGCGGAGGGGGCAGCAAGCGAGGGCAGGGCAGCAGCCCACGGAGGAGAGCACCCAGCGGACGGTCTATGTGTCTGACATCGACCACCAGGTGAGTTGGCTTCTGTCTTGAGATCTCTGTAAAACGCGACGTGTCGTGTCACCTCCAAAAGCAGTAGCAAGCAAGTGATGGGAGTATGCAATGGAATGGACGGAGGAGCAGCTCGCCTCTCTCCTTTCCTCTTCTCGTCCTCGTGCCCTACCTCCCTTTCCCCGCCTGTGATCACCATTTCTTCGCTTTCCGTCCTCCCGCCGTCCTCACCTTTTTCACCGCCCCCTCCCTGCGATGATCTCACCATGGCAGGTGACGGAGGAGCAGCTCGCCACTCTCTTTCTCTCCCCCTTCCCTGTATCACAGTAGTACCTTTCTCCCCGCCCGTCTCTGTGCTGTGCTGTCCTTTGCCCCCACTTCTTCCGTCTCCTTTGACCCCACTTCTCACCATGGCAGGTGACGGAGGAGCAGCTCGCCACTCTCTTTCTCTCCTGTGGCCAGGTGAGTTTCCAGGTGCATCATAGCTTCAGGTGAGTTTTTAGTAGCCTCGTAGCTTCAGATGAATTTCCAGGTGCCTCATGGCCTCAGGTGAGTTTTTAGTAGCCTCGTAGCTTCACTTGAATTTCCAGGTGCCTCATGGCCTCAGGTGAGTTTTCAGGTGCCTCAAATTCATAAGTCCGTGTACTCTCCTGCCACGTCTGCCTGCGTCTGTATGTCATAGGAGGTGAACTGTTGAATCTGTGGGGAACCAAATACACCCTTGAGTTGACTCCAAAGTTACCGCGACTGAAACTACATTTCTTTTATGCCTCATATTCTCCTTGTCTGCCCCTGTCTGTCACAGGTGGTGGACTGTCGGATCTGTGGGGACCCCAATTCGGTGCTCCGATTTGCATTCGTGGAGTTTACAGATGAAGGTACGCTGCAAGTGGGCAGTAGCGTCATCAATCAGTGAGTGAAAAGCGAGTAATAGCTTTATGTTTCCAATGTCTTATTGCGGTTTGGCTAAAACGGTCTGAATGCTATACTCTCAGTTTCCAATGTCTTATAGCGGTTTTTTTCCTTCTTCCAGAGGGGGTTTAGAACGCTGTGAGACCCAACCCCTGTCCCACATCTCTCTCCTCTCCCCCACACCTATCGTTCCTCTCTTCCCGCTCCTTTCTCTGCCCCTTTCTTTCCTCCGTTTCCTCCATAAGTTTTCCCCCATGTCTTTCCTTTCCTCTGCACCTCTCGTGCCTTGTCTCGTCCCTCCCATTTAACCAGAGGGAACCAGAAGGACAATGCTGGGGTACTACCCTCTCCAACTGCTCCTCTATTTTCCCCAATCCCTTGTCTCCATCTCTTTCCTCTCCCTCTCTTGCCTGTTTCCTCTTTCATTCCAAAGGGAGCCAAGAAGGCTCTGAGTATAGCTGGGACGATGCTATATTCGAGTGACTTTTGAGAATTCTCAAAGGACGATGCTGGGGTTCTATTCTACCCTCTCAGGGTGCTCCTCTCTTTTCTCTCATCTCGTTCCTTCTTTTTCTCCTCCCTTGCAACTCTCTTGCAACTCTCTTGCAACTCTCTTGCAACTCTCGTGCTTCTCATGTTCAGAGGGGGCCAAGAACGCGTTGAGCATAGCAGGCACGATGCTAGGATACTACCCGCTCCGGGTGCTGCCTTCTAAGACCGCCATCCTGCCAGTCAACCCCACCTACCTCCCCAAGGTACATGTACATCTACTGCTACACCGCGTGCCAGTAGTGCAGTACAGGGCATGTGTCTTGTGGGTCACCTTGCCGGGCCGGGGTACTACCCTCTCCGGGTGCTGCCTTCTAAGACCGCCATCCTGCCAGTCAACCCCACCTACCTCCCCAAGGTGCATTGACTGCGACTGTGCTTGATTGCTGCTGGAGTGCTGTGCTGGTGGGGTAGGTAGGTAGGGCTGGGTTGCAGGGCGAGGGGGTTGGCTTGGCGCTGGGATATTCCCAAGACTGCAGTGTGGTTCACAACCCAAACCAAGGTGGCGCTGAGCCAAGATGTGCCTTGTGGGGTACTACCCGCTCCGGGTGCTCCCTTCCAAGACTGCAGTGTGGTTCACAACCCACCCAACCCAAGGTGGCGCTGAGTGAAGATGTGCCTTGTGGGGTGCTGCTAGGGTACTACCCGCTCCGGGTGCTCCCTTCCAAGACTGCCATCCTCCCTGTCAACCCCACCTATCTCCCCAAGGTGCCTTTCCGATGCGTAGTACCTGCCATCGTCCTGGGGTGCTGCTGGGCTGCTGATGATGATGGGCTGCTCCTTTCCTTGGTTCACCCCCAAACTCATGCTTTTGTTGCACCACCCGCTGCGCTTTTTTTTTCGTCCCCCGTGTTTGTCACATCAGAGTCAGGAGGAGAGGGGGATGTGTGCTCGCAATCTAACTTTTAAGTTGACTAAAAAAAAATCCCCTTCCCCGTCACCTGCTCGCATCCCCATACTTGCTGTTGCACTGTGCATTTCGGTTCCTGCTTTCCCCCGTGTTTGTCACATCAGAGCCAGGAGGAGAGGGAGATGTGTGCCCGCACCGTAACTTTTGAGTTGACTAAAAAATCTCCCCCTTCCTCCCCCACCTGCTCGCATCCCCCGTACTTGCTGTTGCACTGTGCATTTCGGTTCCTGCTTTCCCCCGTGTTTGACACTTCAGAGCCAGGAGGAGAGGGAGATGTGTGCTCGCACTGTGTATTGCACCAACATTGATAAGAAGGTGAGGCGAGAAGCGAGAGGAAAGGCAGGAATGTGACGCGAGAGGGTAAGGGGAACAAGGGGAGATAGCACAGAGTCAAGAGGAGAGGGAGATGTGTGCTCGCACTGTGTATTGCACCAACATTGACAAGAAGGTGAGGGGGGAGGCGAGAGGAAAGGCAAGAATGTGAGGCGAGAGGGTAAGGGGAACAAGGGGAGATAGCACAGAGTCAAGAGGAGAGGGAGATGTGTGCTCGCACTGTGTATTGCACCAACATTGACAAGAAGGTGAGGGGGGAGGCGAGAGGAAAGGCAGGAATGTGAGGCGAGAGGGTAAGGGGAACAAGGGGAGATAGCACAGAGTCAAGAGGAGAGGGAGATGTGTGCTCGCACTGTGTATTGCACCAACATTGACAAGAAGGTGAGGGGGGAGGCGAGAGGAAAGGCAAGAATGTGAGGCGAGAGGGTAAGGGGAACAAGGGGAGATAGCACAGAGTCAAGAGGAGAGGGAGATGTGTGCTCGCACTGTGTATTGCACCAACATTGACAAGAAGGTGAGGGGGGAGGCGAGAGGAAAGGCAGGAATGTGAGGCGAGAGGGTAAGGGGAACAAGGGGAGATAGCACAGAGTCAAGAGGAGAGGGAGATGTGTGCTCGCACTGTGTATTGCACCAACATTGACAAGAAGGTGAGGGGGGAGGCGAGAGGAAAGGCAAGAATGTGAGGCGAGAGGGTAAGGGGAACAAGGGGAGATAGCACAGAGTCAAGAGGAGAGGGAGATGTGTGCTCGCACTGTGTATTGCACCAACATTGACAAGAAGGTGAGGGGGGAGGCGAGAGGAAAGGCAAGAATGTGAGGCGAGAGGGTAAGGGGAACAAGGGGAGATAGCACAGAGTCAAGAGGAGAGGGAGATGTGTGCTCGCACTGTGTATTGCACCAACATTGACAAGAAGGTGAGGGGGGAGGCGAGAGGAAAGGCAAGCCAAGGAGTGTTTTTTGAGAATTCTAAAAAAGCGCAAGGCAAGGAGAGTCGAGGCAGTAGGGGATAGATAGGGGGGGGGAGTGGTGGCAAGAAGGTGAAAGGGAAGGAGGGGAAGCGCCAGTCAAGGCAAGAAGTGGGGTGAGAATATCCTGGGTTTAGGGTTTAGGCTGGGTTTTCCCCTGTTTCTTTGTCCCTTGCATCAACTGCTCCTCGCCTTCTCACCTGCTTGCTAAACCGCTGATCCACCCACACACTAGAAAGCTTCTTGCCGCAAGTGACTTGCTTTTCTCATTCTTATCGATTCCCACACCACGCTTTGACACGTTTTGAGACGTCACCGCACCACAAAACACTTCTTCATTCACGTGATTACCACACCACCCTTTGACACGTTTTGAGACGTCACCACACCACACCACACCACACCACCCTTTCTTTCACGTGATTACATTACCACACCACACCACCCCTTTGACTCGTATCAGAACCTTGCTAATCACTCTTGAGACATATTAAGAACTTATCAGTCGCCCTCCTCCCTCCCTCACTCCCTCACTCGCTCACTCACTCACTCCCTCCCTCGCTCACTCACTCACTCCCTCCCTCACTCCCTCCCTCACTCCCTCCTTCACTCCCTCACCCACTCACTCCCTCACTCGCTCCCTCGCTCCCTCACTCCTTCCCTCACTCACTGCAGGTCACTCAGGCAGATGTGAAGCTCTTCTTTGAGTCTCTCTGCGGAGAGGTGAGCCAAGGTTTGGTGCGGTTGAATGTGTTTGAATATGGCTAAGTAAATGTTGATGCAGCCTCGCCCCTCGCCTCCAGGTGCTGGGTTAGCACCACTCCTCCCACGTGAAATCTAAGTTGGTCATTTACGCCATTTCAGCCCACGTACACGTAACGTACGCGTACATGTACGTTTACGTGTACGTACGCGTACGTACGTGTACGTACGCCGGGCAGGTCAGAAAAAAAAATATGCGTTGAAATTTCTTTGAAAACGGTTTCCGAAAAAACTAAAAAATAAAAAATCTTTCGACGACCTGTGCTCTGTTAGCGTGTTAGCAAAACGGCGCGACGTTTGTCAAAGTAGTAATGTAAGAAACAGGAAGGTTGCTAGCTAGGGTCGCTATGGTGTGGCGACTACCCTACGTACTATGTCGACTAAGGCGGCAGAACTACGATAGCTAAGTCTGTCGAGAGAGGGAGGGAGGAAATTGTGGTGGGAGTAGATTTGAATGTGTGCAAACTGTTCGCGATAGAACATTGCGAACAGTTTGACTCAGATTGCGATTGCTTCGTTTGCAAGGTAAGCGAATGTCACCCGCTCGGCAGTTTCGTCACCGCCGAGCTTCACTGATTTCGGCGAATCCCAACTTCGAGTCAAACCAATTCGCCGAGTCAAATCTAAATCTACACTACATGATGGAATTTTTACACTGTATGATGGAAATTATGATTACGAGGGAAAAGTATAGAGAAAATATACATATCCGGGCAGCCCAGAAAATTTTTCACCTGCCCGTAAATTAGGCCTCCAACCCAACAGCCGCGTAAACGTACGTACCCGTACACGTACGTACGTAAACGTAAACGTAAATGACCAACTAAGCGTACCCCCCTCTTCCCCTTCCCCCTCCACTTCCCCCTTCCCTTCCCCACTCGCACACCCCCCCCCCCCCCCCCCCTCTCTCCCCCACTCCCCCCCCACCCAAACCATCTTGTTCAGATTTATTGTCTGGGCCAGTTTAATGATTACCATTACTACACACACATACATATTCCCGCGTCTCAGATCTCGCGTGTTAGATCTCGCGTGTTAGATCTCGCGTGTTAGATCTCGCGTGTTAGATCTCGCGTGTTAGATCTCGCGTGTTAGATCTCGCGTGTTAGATCTCGCGTGTTAGATCTCGCGTGTTAGATCTCGCGCCTTCGTCTGCTGTGCGATTATCATCACTCTACTCGCATGAGATCGGCACCTCTTTGGAAAGCCAACCAACCGCACTCCACTCCCCATCTCCCTTTTTTTCCCCATCTTCTTCCCATTTTGCTTCTCAGATCTCTCGTCTCCGTCTGTTGGGCGATTACCACCATTCTACTCGCATTGCCTTTGTTGAATTCGTGATGGTGAGTGATGGGGATGACAAGGGGTGATGGTGGGTGATGAGGGGTAATGGTGGGTGGTGGCGCTTTCTCTCTGCACATCCAATAGGAGACTGCATTTGCTATCAAATGCACCTTTGCAGCTGGAAAAGCTACCTGCGCAAAGCTCTCCCTTCCTAGCTAACCTCTGCTTTCTAAATGAACCTCTCTTCACCTTTGATTAACTCTCTGAATTGCTCTGCATCTCTCTGCACCTTTCACTTCCCCAGGCTGAGAGCGCCATGGCAGCATTAAACTGCAGCGGAGCCATCCTGGGCTCACTCCCCATCAGGTCAGTCTCTTCACCTCTCTGCACCACTCAGCACCACGCCACCACACCTATCCACACCTCGCGTTCTCCCCCAGGTTGAGAGCGCCATGGCAGCATTAAACTGCAGCGGAGCCATCCTGGGCTCACTCCCCATCAGGTCAGTCTCTTTACCTGCACCACTCAGCACCGCGCCACCACACCTATCCACACCTAGCGTTCTCCCCCAGGTGGAGAGCGCGATGGCAGCATCAAACTGCAGTAAAGCCATCCTGGGTTCACACTCCCCATCAGCTTTTGAGTCGACTCAAAGCCATCCTGGGTTCACTCCCCATCAGGTCAGTGAAGCTCCTCCCTGATCACATATCGTTGCAGGGATTTTTTTAGGGAGCTCCTCCCTTATCAGATATCGCTTTTGAGTCGACTCAAAACCTCCCCATCAGGTCAGTGAAGCTCCTCCCTGATCACATATCGGGGTGCGTCCCCCAGAGCCATCCTGGGCTCACTCCCCATCAGGTATCGGGGTGAGTCCCTTAGATGAGTGAGTGAGTCCCTCAGATGAGTGAGTGAGTCCCTCAGATGAGTGAGTGAGTCCCTCAGATGAGTGAGTGAGTCCCTCAGATGAGTGAGTGAGTCCCTCAGATGAGTGAGTGAGTCCCTCAGATGAGTGAGTGAGTCCCTCAGATGAGTGAGTGAGTCCCTCAGATGAGTGAGTGAGTCCCTCAGATGAGTGAGTGAGTCCCTCAGATGAGTGAGTGAGTCCCTCAGATGAGTGAGTGAGTCCCTCAGATGAGTGAGTGAGTCCCTCAGATGAGTGAGTGAGTCCCTCAGATGAGTGAGTGAGTCCCTCAGATGAGTGAGTGAGTCCCTCAGATGAGTGAGTGAGTCCCTCAGATGCGTGAGTGAGTCCCTCAGATGAGTGAGTGAGTCCCTCAGATGAGTGAGTGAGTCCCTCAGATGAGTGAGTGAGTCCCTCAGATGAGTGAGTGAGTCCCTCAGATGAGTGAGTGAGTCCCTCACTCCCTGAACACATATCAGGGTGCGTCCCTCAGAGATCCTACGTGCGAGTCCCTCCCTCTGCCGTCCTGCAGTGATCCTTTTTCAACTCCTTTGTGTCTCCTATTCTTATCCAACCCTTATGGTCCATCCGATCAGAGTGAGCCGCTTCTATAGACCCCTGTGCGCCCACGAGCGCCCACGCAGCACCTGCTGTCCCCCCCACCCCACCCCCTCTCTGCCGCCCTCTCCTTGTCCTCGAGTTGACTTTTGAGTTGACTTTTAAGTTTACTCAAAAGTCAACTCGCGCAGCACCTGCTGTTCCCCCCACCCCACCCCCTCTCTGCCGCCCTCTCCTTGTCCTCTCCCCCTATTCCCCCTCCCCCCCGCTTCCCCTCCACCAGGGTGAGCCCTTTCAAGACCTCTGTGCGCCCACGAGCGCCCAGGCAGCGCCTATTCCTCTTCGTTGAGTTGAATTTTGAGGCGCCTCAAAAGTCAATTCAACGCCCACGAGCGCCCACGAGCGCCCACAAGCGCCCAGGCAGCGCCTATTCCTCTTCCATCCAAACCTCCCCCTCTTCCGCCCTCGCCCGTCCTCCTTCCTCCAACCCTACCCTTAATCCCCTTATCCACCAGGGTGAGTGGAGTCCTTCCAAGACCCCTGTGCTCCCACGAGCGCCCAGGCAGCATCAGCTGTCCCCTCTTGCTCCACCCTTACCCCTCGTATCCCCCCCATTTTTCCCCTTCCCCCCCCCTCTCTCTCTCCCCATCATATTGAGTCCCTCCAAGGCCCCTGTGCGCCCACGAGCGCCCACTAACGTCCAGGCAACTTGCGAGGCGCCTCAATCCCCTGTCCCTCCAAAACTAAGCTCCTCCCTTCCCCCAATCCCTCTCCCCCCCCCCCCTCTTCAGGGTGAGTCCCTCCAAGACCCCTGTGCGCCCACGAGCGCCCAGGCAGCATGGGGGGAGGTAGTGACAGGGGGAGGGGCGGCATGGGGGAGAGGTAGCAACTGGGGGAGGGGCGGCATGGGCAGAGGGGAGGTAGCAACTGGGGGAGGGGCGGCATGGGCAGAGGGGAGGTAGCAACTGGGGGGAGGGGTGGGATGGGGGGAGCTGGTAACAGGGGGAGGGGCGGCATGGGAGGAGGTAGCACCTGGGGGAGGGGCTGCACTGGGGGAGGTATAAATTGAACGAGGGGCGAAATGGAAGGAGGTAGCATAAAGACTAGCTATGTCTGGAACAGTTGGTATCATTGGGTGGGTGGCGAAGTAAAAACAGGTAGGTCGGGGCGGGGGGAAGAGGGGAGGAGATGAGGCAAGAGACGGGGGCCGAGAGGGGGATGAGTGAGGCACGGATATTTTTTTTTAGGCGCCTCAAAAACGACCTCAAGGCATGAGACGGGGGCCAAGAGGGGGATGAGTGAGGCAGGGAGATGAGCTATGACAGGAGTCTGCAATGGGGGAGGAGTTGACTTTTGAGTCGAGTCAAAAGAGGGGGATGAGTGAGGCAGGGAGATGAGCTATGACAGGAGTCTGCAATGGGGGAGGAGTTGACTTTTGAGTCGAGTCAAAAGAGGGGGATGAGTGAGGCAGGGAGATGAGCTATGACAGGAGTCTGCAATGGGGGAGGAGTTGACTTTTGAGTCGAGTCAAATAGGGGGATGAGTGAGGCAGGGAGATGAGCTACGACAGGAGTCTGCAATGGGGGAGGAGTTGACTTTTGAGTCGAGTCAAAAGAGGGGGATGAGTGAGGCAGGGAGATGAGCTATGACAGGAGTCTGCAATGGGGGAGGAGTTGACTTTTGAGTCGAGTCAAATAGGGGGATGAGTGAGGCAGGGAGATGAGCTATGACAGGAGTCTGCAATGGGAGAGGAAGGACCAGTTCGAAATGGGGTATGCGTTTGGACTTTGAAAAAAAAGGGGGGGTGAGAGAATGGAAAAAAGGAAAACGGGCTTCAAAAGAAGGAGGAGGAGGAGCAGTGCAGAGTCTGCGATAGGGTGGTTTTGACAGAATTAGGCGCTATTATTCAGCACCTCGGTATTTATCGGGGTGGACGTTGCAACCCCCATTTGAGAATACTCAAAAACGGCTTGAATCGAACAGAGTCGACCACGAAGCTGCGTGGTTTTGAAGCTGGGGAGCGGTAAGCCGAAGGTAGGGCGGCGGGCGATAGTTTTGGGGGTTTTATCAGACGCTGATATCGCCTCTGGGACGTTATGGGGAAACTCTGATTTGAGGGCCCTTTCAGGAGTCTCGCTCCTCTTGCCCATGATTGGAGGGGCCCTGGGTCATCCCGTTTGCCATGAGAGAATTGCCGCTGCTGGGTTGGTTGAGCCGTCAGTAGAATCGACCGGTGAAGTTGAAGGAGCTGCTAGCTGCTGTGCGGTTCGATATGGTGCGTGGTGGTGCAATGGGTGGGTGGACAGGGTTGTATATTGGAGGTGCCTCAGAAATAAGCTGCTGATTTGGCTGGGCCGAATCTGAAGGAGGAGCTCTGCTAGGTGCTGTGCGGTTCGAAATGGTGGGTGGCGGTGCAATGGGAATAATGATAAGAATAATTGCAGTGCACGAATAAGGGAGAGGTAAATAAGGGTTTGGAATAACGGCAAGCAGCAGCAGCAGCAGTTTCGGAGAGGCGATTGGGTGAATGGGGTAGCAGGTGCAAGGGCAGCTGCAGTGGCTGTCAGAATAAGGATTGGGAAGGACAAGGCAACAGCAGCACTGAAGCAGCATGGGTGATGGAATGTGGAAGGACCAGCAGCAACTCCAGCAACAGCACAGGGAGGACTAGTGTAGTCCAGGGGAGCAGCAGCAACAGCAGCTGCAGCAGCAACAGCAGCTGCAGCAGCAACAGCAGCTGCAGCAGCAACAGCAGGTGCAGCAGCAGCAGCAACAACATTCAGTGAAGGTGGGGCAGGCTCGGCAGACAAACAGGAGCCATGTCTTTACGTGGCAGCGACTGATTTTTGGCAGTAAAGTCTCGGCAGTGGCGTGGACTGGTTGGTTCAACCCTCCTATTTCAGGGCTTTTACCATTTGGCTGGTTTATCTGATAGTATGAGCCAGTAATTATTTACCGTCATCGCCCGGATATAAGACATATATGTCTTATCTCGTACACGGGCGAAAATGCTTGAGTTATCTTGTAAACGGGATGGTTTAGGGTGTCTTATAATTCTTATAAATGGAAAAAAAAATAAGTTGACTGTAACACTTGCAAAGTGTGTAGAAAACACCCAGGGACCAGATTCATTGAAACAGGCCGACCTCGGTGGTGATGCAGCAAAGCTGCCACCGCTGGCAAGATTCCTCTGTGCTGGCAGCATCTAATGATGCTGCCAGCGTCGTTTTGCTGCCAGCAGCGCATGGCAGCTTCCAGAACGTTGCTGGCAGCACGTTGGCAGCGTCAGGCTGTCCTCTACGAGGAGATGCCTCGTAGAGGAGCGGCTCGGCACCTGTGGATGGGGCACTCTGGCTCAGGGGGGTAGTCGGGCTTTCACTTCATTTGGTGCTCATGGAGGTTGAATTCTCACCTCAACCTTGCTCTCGGCAGGCTCTCTAACCATGCGCAGCAAGGTACCCCTAGGCAAGTCCTCACCTCGTCCTCACGTGCAGGTGAATAACTACGGGCGAATTAACTCGCCCGGCGATGACATCCGCGTAGCCATGGCGAAGAACGCGAGCAAGGCGGGAAGTCCTACCGCCGCCTCCGGTGCGAGCTGTGACGGGGAAGACGGAGACGAAGCACACGGCGACGACGCCGAGGAGGATTGGCCGGAGAACGGCCACGATGACAGCGCTTCGGGCGACGAATTTGGTACTGCCGACATCGAGGAGGACGAATGGTGGAATCAGCCGGTCGGGAGCGACGACGAGGTGGAAGAGTGGCGGGCTGGTGATTCCGACAACGACGGAGGTGAAGATGCTGGCGGTGACAACGCGGAGGCACAGGAAGCGGCGGTGGATGCGAATGAGGCTGCCGACGAGGCGGCGGCGGAACTCGAGACAGAGGCGCCTGCGGATGCGGACGCGGTGGCGGAGGCGAACAAGGTGGCTGCGGATGCCGTCTTATTTGAGGGTGAGGGCGACGACGACGACCCGTGGAGCCTTGGGACAGACGACGACGTTCCGCTACTGAAGCGGAGGCTGCGCCATCGCCTACAGTCCACGACGAAGCGCGCCCGCGTGGTGCTCTGTGACGACGACAGTCCCGGGGAGGAGCGTCGCCCCCTACTCACCGCTGCGGAGAAGGGAAAGGCAAAGGTCGTGGAAGCCCCTGCTAAGTCCCCTGCTAAGGCCCCTGCAAAGGCCCCTGCTCGTGGCCGCACAAGCAACAAGAAGCGCAAGGACGACGGAGACCCTGGATCCAGCAAGGGTGCGGCAAAGAAAAAGGCGAAGAAGGCGCCGAATCCTGACGACATCATCGTCAACGAGGCGTTGGGCAGCGACGATGAGTACGCGGCGGCGGCGGGCCCGATTCCCACGTTCCCTGAGAAGGAGGCGCCGAAGGACCCCACCCTCCATAATCCCAACACCCGCCCACCTTCCCCTCGCAGCAAAGACACTACGAAGAAGCGCCGCGGCTGGACCGTGCGTGAGAAGGTTAAGTGGGCGCGCCGCTATCAGGAGCTCGGCTCCTTGAAGAAGACTAGCTTGGAGTCAACCGCGAGCGTCGCCTGCATCAGACGCTGGTGCGCGGAGGCGGCTGCGGGCATCTACAAGGGCGCGGCTAACTGCCGCAAGCGGATGCACGGGGGGGGCCGCCACGCACACTACCCCGACATGGAGGCAGCGTTGTACCGCTACATCTGCCTTCAGCGCGCTAACGGGGTGGCCATCTCGGTGAAGGACACCCAAAAGTGGAGCCGCGAGTGGATGAAGAAGCATTACCCCGGCAAGAACTGGAACGCGAGCTCTCACTGGAGCCAGCGTTTCCGTGACCGCTGGAACCTGGTGATGCGGGTGAAGACGAAGGTCGGACAACGTCTGTCGGCAGGTGCGTGGATAAGGAGTTCGTGCCGCGCACGGCCCATTGTATGCATGTCTTACCTTGCTCGTTGTCTAACCGTCCCTCGCTTCTGTTCCTGTCCCGTTTGCAGAGTGCGCGAAGGACTGCGAGTCCTTCTGGAAGTTCGTGCGCATCAACAGGGCGCGGCACAACATCGACCTGGCCCGTATCATCAACGCGGACCAGACGCCACTGTTCGTGGAGATGCCGGCCGAGAGGACGATCGAGCACCGTGGCGCGCGCTCGGTCCCAATCCGCACTGCAGGCTACCAGAAGACGCGCTTGACGGTGATGCTCGCGTGCACTGCATCCGGGGAGAAGCTGCGGCCGTGGGTGTGGTTCAAGATGAAGAACGTCCCCAACTGTGAGATTCCGGACGGTAAGCGCCATGACTTCAACCTTGCCCCTGCCTCATGAGCGTGCCCCACTGTGCTGATGTCCGTCTGTCCCTTGTGTGCCTGGCAGGAATCGTGGTCCAAGCACAGGACAACGGGTGGATGGACGAGAGCGCTGTGCAGACTTGGCTGTCCAAGGAGGTGCTTCCCCATCTGAACCCCCAGCGCGGCAAGAGCGCGAGGCGTGCGATGCTGGTGTTGGACTCCTACCGCGGCCACATCACCCAGACCATGCTTCAGTCGTACCGCACGCACAGCATCACCCCTGCAGTCATTCCAGCGGGTTGTACGAGCCAGATTCAACCCCTGGACGTCTCCATCAACCGGTGCTTCAAGGCTGCCGTGCGAGCGCGCTACGCCAGGTGGTTCATGCGTGAAGGGATTCACCTGAAGACGAAGAAGGGTGAGTTGGCTGTTCATTTTAAATTCCTGCTCTGTTTCGTGTCCTTATCGTTAACATCTCGCTGCCGTGTCCTCTGTCCCACCCGCAGGGAACCTGCGGAGGCCTCCGCACCCCGTGGTGCTGCAGTGGATCGCGGAGGCTTGGGATCAAGTCCCCAGGCAGATCATCATCGACGCGTTCCGCCACTGTGGGATCTCCAGCAAGCTGGACGGAACGGAGAACCACCTGGTGATGTCTCACCTGCGCGCCAGGAGCACCACCGATGTCTCCGAGGACATGTCCCTCGGGGGGACCACAGGCGACAACACGCGCCTGCTTCGGAAGGCTCCAGAGGAGGAGGAGGAGGAGGAGGAGGAGGAGGAGGAGGAGGAGGAGGAGGAGGAGGAGGAGGAGGAGGAGGAGGAGGAGGAGGAGGAGGAGGAGGAGGAGGAGGCGATGCAGGCGGAGGGCGTGCGGGAGGTGGCCGTGGCAACTGGCCTGGAGGTGCTGTACCAGGAGACCCCCAACTACCGCGGAGCGGCGGCCGAGGCTGACCGCATGATCGAGCCAAGGGAGACGGCTAGGCATGCCTGGCGAGTGCCAGACCTGGGCGTAGAGCCTGTTGCTAGTGCTGCAGAGGAGGCGGTTACTGAGGGGGGTTAGGTAGAAGTAGGGATTCATGAATGTATGGATGTACCCCCCTAAAGTAGTGTAGGCTCGTTTAGAAGACACCCCCTGTTTATAAGAAAACCCCTAAACCCCGGTTCTGATTATAAGACATATATGTCTTATCTCGTACACACAAATAGGTGTCGTATAAAAAGGCTTGCCTGTTTATAAGAGACACCCGTATAGTAGACAACCCCTGTCTACTATTCAACACTGTCTTATATCCGGGCGATAACGGTATGTTAGAGAAAGTGGGCCAAATAAATGGGATTGTGAAGGGAAAGAGGAGGGGAGGGGATTGGAAGGGGTGGAGGAGGATGGGAAGGATTTGGGGGGTGTGTCGGGAGAGTTAGATTTTCTGGCAAGCTGGTGCACTGGAATAACGGTTACCTATAGAGGGGTAATTTTATTACCACTAGATGTTATACAGTATTGTGCATGCCTGACCACAAGCCCAAAAGTTGCGGATTCCATTTTGCCATCATTCCACACCATGTTATGTTATTGAATCTTCCATTCGCCTAGGTCAGGTTAAGGCATATGCAAGTGGAATTGATAAGCTTCCCACAAACAATGCTACAACCTGAAGTGTGATCCATTCATTGGTAGTAGTACGGTAGTACCTTACTGATTTAATATCCGTTGTAATTTATTAAGAATGCACGGTAGAGTGTAACAGCCTAGTCAGCAAGAGTCGACCCTAGCAGCATAACGAACGGCTACCACCTGTATGCGTGGTTTCATGTGAAAATAGCAACGTCTAGGAAGTCACCAGTCTGTTTGGTGGGGGCATGGGGACGGGAGGAGGGACCGAGCGGGAAATGGGAGAGGGGGAGGAAAGGAAGGGAGCGAAAGGAGGGGGAGGGAAAGAAAGGGACATGCTTTGTTTCAGGAGGGAGATTGCAATGTTGAGTAAATCCCCATCTAAGTACCGTTTGTTGCATGTAGGGAACAGCTGGAAGTGTGGAAAGGGGAAAGGGGGGGTGTGAAGGGGGTGAGGGAGGTAAACCAGAACAGTAAATTTTGTTATTTCTTTCCCAGGAAAAAAAAAAAAAAGGAATGCTACACATTGGATGCTTCACACTAATGTTGCGCTGATGCAATGCAAATGGCAACCTCAACTTAGGTTGAAGGTGTGATAATTCCATTTGCATTGCACATGGAAAGCTCACCTGAAACCCCAGCTCGTGCAATGTCCTGTTGTCATCGGGTGTTGTAAGCAAGCAGTATGCTGATGTCATGCTGATGTCATGCTGATGTCATGCTCATGCAACAGTCAAGCTCACCTGAAACCCCAGCTCGTGCAACGTCCTGTTGTCATCGGGTGTTGGTCTGCGAGTAATTGAGTTGGTGATACCGGCCTGACATGGGGGGGAGAGGGGATAGAGAAGAGGCAAGGAGAATGTGGCATAAGGAGAGATGCGGAGGGTGTGTTGGTCCGCGCCGCGGGTGTGTTGGTCTGTGTCGAAGGTGTGTTGGTCTGTGCCGAAGGTGTGTTGGTCTGTGCCGAAGGTGTGTGGGTTTGCGCCGAAGGTGTGTGGGTTTGCGCCGAAGGTGTGTGGGTTTGCGCCGAAGGTGTGTTGGTTTGCGCCGAAGGTGTGTGGGTTTGCGCCGCGGGTTATGGAGTTGGTAATACCGGCGTGGTGTGGGTGGGAGTGGAGAGAGTGAGGAGGCCAGGAATGAGAGGAAGGACGTCAGCATGGTAAGAAGGTGACGTTTGAGTCGACTCAAAACGAGGTGACGTTTGAGTCGACTCAAAACGAGGTGACTTTTGAGTCGACTCAAAACGAGGTGACTTTTGAGTCGACTCAAAACGAGGTGACTTTTGAGTCGACTCAAAACGAGGTGACTTTTGAGTCGACTCAAAACGAGGTGACTTTTGAGTCGACTCAAAACGAGGTGACTTTTGAGTCGACTCAAAACGAGGTGACTTTTGAGTCGACTCAAAACGAGGTGACTTTTGAGTCGACTCAAAACGAGGTGACTTTTGAGTCGACTCAAAAGGTGACTTTTGCGTCGACGCAAAACGAGGTGACGTTTGAGTCGACTCAAAGGCCAGGAATGAGAGGAAGGACGTCAGCATGGGATAAGGAAGGAATTAGAGGTAACAGATGAGGCTGTAAGGAACAAGAGACCAAGAGACAGGCAATGGTGCTGGGAAACATGATTTTTTAGAATTCTCAAAAACCACTCGCATGGTGCTGGGAAACATGAAGCGACGAAGCAAGCTAACGTGCGACCGCTATGCTTGGGATGAACATGGAAATGATAGCACGCGAAGCGGGAATGTTTGTTTCTTTGCTTGTTTCTTTGTTTCTTTGTTTCTTTGCTTGTTTCTTTGTTTCTTTGTTTCTTTGCTTGTTTCTTTGTTTCTTTGCTTGTTTCTTTGTTTGTTTGTTTCTTTCTTGGTTTGTTTGTTTGTTTGTTTGTTTGTTTCTTTGTTTGTTTGTTTGTTTGTTTGTTTGTTTGTGGGTTGTTGTACGTTTCATCCCTTTCCCCCCATCCTTTCTTACTTGTTTCCTCACATTCCTCCCTTGTCTATTTGGGTAACCGAACGTTCCTTGGAGTCTGGGACACTTTTGAGTCGACTCAAAAGTCACCTCTGTTTCCTCACATTCCTTCTTGTCTATTTGGGTAACCGAGCGTTCCTCAGCCTCTGCGATGCGACCACCATAGCATGCCTCTGACACTCCTACCTACCTCCTCTCACCCCCCCACTCTCACCTGTTTCATCACGTTCCTCCCCTGTCTATTCGGGTACACAAACGCAAACGATAACAAAGCCTCCCTTTTAAGTCAACTCAAGAATGCCTCACCTGTTTCATCACGTTCCTCCCCTGTCTATTTGGGTACACGAATGCAAAAGATAGCCGCGCTTCCCTACGACGGGCCTCCGGCACCACCTCCTTCAACTGAAACAGCCAATAACGAGTACAGGGGCAGAGACGTGAATGAGTGAATGTTCAGTGAATGCTCACTAAATCGGTCAGCTCTCTCAGGGGAGCGTCCTTCCACGTGTACATCTGCACCTCCTCCTTGGGCTACTTCCCAGCACCCTCACATCATGAATGTTCAGTGAATACTCACCAGATCTGTCAGTTCTCTCAGGGGAGCGTCCTTCCACGTGTACATCTGCACCTCCTCCTTGGGCTACTTCCCAGCACCCTCACATCATGAATGTTCAGTGAATACTCACCAGATCCGTCAGTTCTCTCAGGGGAGCGTCCTTCCACGTGTACATCTGCACCTCCTCCTTGGGCTACTTCCCAGCACCCTCACATCATGAATGTTCAGTGAATACTCACCAGATCTGTCAGTTCTCTCAGGGTGGCGTCCTTCCACGTGTACATCTGCACCTCCTCCTTGGGCTCCTGCCCTCTCGTTGCGAATGCTTCCAAATCGTGATGCCCCCCGTGCTGCTAGTTACAACACGAGCACAAACCACAAGGCGGAAGGGGAGGAAGTGAAAAGGAAAGATCAGACAACGCATCCCTCCCTCCTCCCTCCCTCCCTCCCTCCCTCCCTCCCTCCCTCCCTCCCTCCCTCCCTCCCTCCCTCCCTCCCTCCCTCCCTCCCTCCCTCCCTCCCTCCCTCCCTCCTTGAGACTCCTTCCTAACCCTCCCCCTGCAAAGGCGTCCTAATCGTGATGCCCCCCGTGCTGCCATGAGGTAGAGAATGAGAGAAAATGGGAGAAAGGGAGATAAGGAATTCAGACAACGCATCCCTCCTTGGGCTCCTGTCCCTCTCCCTGCAAAGGCATCTAAATCATATGATGCTCCCTGTGCTGTTATTTGCAAGAGCACACAGGACAAAACAAAGGAAAATGGGAGACCAGGAGACCAGTCAGTCAGACAACGCATCCCTCCTTGGGCTCCTGCCCCTCTCCCTGCAGAGGCTTCCAAATCGTGATGCCCCCCGTGCTGCTAGTTACAACACGAGCACAAACCACAAGGCGGAAGGGAGAGAGTGAAAAGGAAAGATCAGACAACGCATCCCTCCTTGGACTCCTGCCCCTCTCGCTGCAGAGACGTCCAAATCTGATCCGTGTTGTTATTTGCAACAAGAACACAATGGAAACACGAGGACGAAAGGAGGAAAGGAGGTAAGAGATCAGTCGACACATCTCTCATTATTTTGGAATTGGGGTAAAGGGGTGAGGGCTTTTGGGTGAACTCAGAAATAGAAACTCACGGTGTTGTGTAAACGGGCAGAGGAACATGACAATTTGGGGAAAGGGCGACATATTGGGAAAAGGGTGACAGATTGGGAAAGGAGTGACAAACTGGGAAAGGGGTGACATGTTGGGCAAACCGGCGAGATATTGGGGAAGGGGTGGCATATTGGGAAAGTAGAGCCATATTGGGAAAGGGGTGACATATTGGGAAAGGAGTGTTATATTGGGAAAGGGTTGACATAGGGAAAGGGGTGACATATTGGGAAAGGGTGACATACTAAAAAAGGATTAACACGCTCAGAAAGGGGAGCACATGAGGAGCAATGGTGAAAAGTGGCATTGCCAGATGGGGATGGTTGGTCACATGGCATGGCATGTGTTGGCTACATACTAAGCATGTGGATGGCAAACGTAGTATGGGCATGGATGGCCCATGGATGGCCCATGGATGGCCCATGGATGGCCCATGGATGGCCCACGCCTATGGACGGCTACATGATAAGGAAAGAAAAATATACCTTATCCTTTGACCTAAAGCATTGTTGTTTTCAACTGACCTTGTGAAATACTCGTAGCAGCAGCGGACATGTCTGTAATGATGAGAAAACAGGATGGGTTTGGAAGGGGAGGAGGGAGAAGAGGAGGGGGGGTGGGGGGAGAGGGGGGAGGAGGGGACGGGAAGGGGAGGGGGGAGGGTGGGGGGGATGGGGAATGAGGGAAAAAAAGTGAGAGACCACAGGCAGGGGCATAAAAAACGCATGAGGAAAAAGCGAAAGGGAAAAGGATCGGGCATGAGGAGGAAGTGAACACGAGCAAGGGAATACGTGGAATTAGGGTTCCTGGCACGCCGAATTAGACTGCCCCACAGCTTCCGCTTTAATTACACTCTCCCACCCCATCAGCGCATAACTAGTTGCATCTCGCATTTTCTGGAAGCAAAATGGTCGACAATATCGGGATCACCATTGATTGGAGAAGCGCGCACCTTTTCTCCACCCAATGGCAGTCAAACACCGACGCGCGCACCTTTCCCCCACCCAGAAACAGGCGACACCGAAGCGCGCACCTTCTCGCGGTCCACGACGATTGGCTGATGCGGCACGGCCATCATGGGCGCCGCGGCTCGGGCCAGGTTCGGTATTCTCGAGGACCGATTCTGCGCGTCCGCCGCCGCCGCAGCCGCCGCCATTTGGATTGACATCAACGCCGCCAGATTTGATACGCGAATAGACGGAACGTGCTCGTGTAACGGGGTGCGAAACGGCTTTAGGAGGGACAGGAAAAAAAAAACTATATCGCTATATGGAGCTCGTTGCGGTCAACGCCGTCAGATTGCGGAACGAAGTTGATGTATGAAGATCAACGGCTGTGAGGATGACCGAGAAAGCGCTTGTGAGGAAGTGCGTCTAGGGTGCGTCTGCAAATGAGAATCAAGAAAACCACGATGCGCACGCAACGTAGAGATTGAAAAGGAGTGGGCGCGACGAGACAGCGAGATGCTAGGACCTAGTGCTATTCAATCACTATCACCTAGAGTGAAGAGCAGCGAGTGAAGGGAAGGAAACAGAGGGAGGAGCAATGGGAGGTGGCGAAAAGGAATCAGAAAACTCGAGAAATACTCGTTATACGCATCCTTGCGTGTTCGAAACGTATCCTGCAAGGGTGTATGGAGACACAACACTCGCAGTTTCATTAATACAGTAAAAGATGGGGCACAAATGGCCTTCTTTTCATATAGTTTCAATTTTTGTAGATAAATTGTACAGGAAACTAGCTCACTCTCGTTACACGAGCAAGCTTGCAACAGCCTGCATTAGCGACCTCAGATAAATTCAACAGATTAAAGTGATCTCAAATAAAATAAGCTTACATAAACAATATGGATCAGCCAATATCCTCCCCTCAAACGCATCTTCTGCTCAGACTCTCAGGCATGCAGGCATGTCTTTTGAGACGTCTCAAAACTAGCAGGCATGCAGGCATGTCTTGTGGCCGCGCCACTCATGCATGCACCTATCAGATACCTCCCACCACATGTGCAAGCAGTGTCATATTCTCCTCCAGCTTGGCCAGACATTCATCTTGGCGCATAAAAGGAATCAGCTACCCTACCTACCCTCTCTCCCCTCCCTTTAACCCACTGCTCCCCCTCTCTCCTTTCCATCAACGTCAGCAGCGACGCAATCTCTCCAAGATTGGCCAGCCTTTCTTTACGCACACGTAAAGGGTAATTATCCTACCCCTCTTCGCCCCCCTTCTTTCCGCTCCATCTGGGTGAGCAACGATGTAGTCTCCTCCAGCTTGGCCAGCCTTGTTTCACGCACACCTAAAAGGGTAACTTTTTTTGAGGCGCCTCAAAAATCGCACCTAGAAGGGTAACTACCATACCCTGCTTTCCACCCTTGGCTCACTGCCCCCCTTCTTTCCGTTCCATCTGCGTCAGCAGCGAGGTTATCTCCTCCAGCTTGGCCAGCCGTTGCCGCTCACTCTCTGTCACAATCTGATGCACAGAAATGGATCAGGCGGGGAGGGGTGGGGAAGGGTGGGGAGGGGTGGGGAGGGGTGGGGGGGATGTGAAGGGATGGTTTGAGTGCCAGCTGCCATGGCGAGAGGAGGATGATCGAAACAGGACCTGCCATGGCGTGGATGGTTAGCTTTGAGTGCAACCTGCCATGGCACCTGAACGAGCATTGCCATGCCAGCTGCCAATGCTGCTCATACTCCGTCAGGTGTGGCACCAGGCGCGGCGGTCGGAGTCAGCTATATGGAAATCACTTTTCGGAATTCTCATAAGTGCTCACACTCCGTCAGGTGTTGCACCAGGTGCGGAGGTGGGAGTCGCATTCCTGACCAGCTCGCATGTGTGTGCATTCTGCGCACTTTGAGCAGACGGAAGCATGGCAAGTGTGCTGACTCAAACGCAGCTCACCTAGAAAAAAAACTCCCCACCATCTCACCTCGAACAGTTTCCCAACCAGCTCTGACTTCTGTGCATTCTTGTTGTTGTATGCCGTGGTGGCATCCTTCAGCTCCTTCTCCTGCCGTTGATGGAGGGGTATGGGGGGTATGGGGGGTATGGGGGGCATGGGGGGCATGGCGAAATTGAGTCGACTTATAAGTTTTTTCCTTCTTGTTGTTGTATGCCGTGGTGGCATCCTTCAGCTCCTTCTCCTGCCGTGGGGCATGGGGTGTGTGGATATGTGGATATGGGGGCACGGGGCATCCCAGGCCAGGCATTGGGTATGGGGCGGGGGCATGGGGCATGGGGCATGGGGCATGTGGGGCATGTGGGGCATGTGTGGCATGTGGGGCATGTGGGGCATGTGCGGCATGTGGGGCATGTGGGGCATGTGGGGCATGCAGGGCATTGGACATGTGGGGGGCATGGGGTATTGGACATGTGGGGGGCATGGGGTATCAGGCATGTGGGGGGCATGGAGTATTGGGCATGTGGGGGGCATGGGGTATTGGGCATGTCGGGGGCATGGGGTATTGGGAATGTGGGGGTATGGGGCATCGGGCATGTGGGGCATAAATTAGCGAACATGTGAGACATGGGTTATGCGGGGGTGTGGATGTGAGAATTCTCAAAAACACCCTCCCTGCACCCCACATGCATCACAGACCCTGTCTGCATGCATCACCACATCACACGCTAAAAAACAGTTTGCTAAAAGCTGCTCCCGCCACGCAAAGACCATGACTCCTGTCTGGGATTCGATTGGTGTGAATTCTCAAACACACCCTCCCTGCACCCCACATGCATCACAGACCCTGTCTGCATCACCACATCTCGCATCCCTCCCATTCGCCCACCTCCTCTCAACAAGAGCACGCATGGGCCTCAGCTCCCTATCCACCAGCTCAATCCGCTTTCTCGAATCCCCACCTGCAGCACATGCATCATACTCCCTCCATCACACACTCCCTGCACCACCACGCACCACCACACACCACCACACACCACCACGCACCACCACGCACCACCACGCATCACCACGCATCACCATGCATCCCGCATCACCACGCATCACCGCACATCACCACATGTTCTTTTTTCTCACTCACCTTCCTCTCAACAAAGAGCCCGCATGGGCCTTAGCTCCCTATCCAACAGCTCCATCCGCTTCTTCAAATCCCCATCAGCTCAGACTCCTTGCATCACCATGCATCACCCTGCACCACACTCCCTGTCTGCATCACCACACACCACCACACATCACCACACATCCTTCACCTCTCACCCACCTTCCTCTCAACAAGCGCACGCATGGGCCTCAGCTCCCGATCCACCAGCTCGATCCGCTTCTTCAAATCCCCATCTGCAGCACATGCGTTGCAGATCCTGCCTGCATCACCATGCATCACCACGCATCACCACACTCCTACCTTCCTCTCCACCAGAGTACGCATGGGCCTCTGCTCCCGATCCATCAGCTCGATCCGCTTCCTCAAATCCCCATCAGCTCAACCTCTCTGCATCACCACACATCACCGCGCATCACCGCATATCAACATGCATCAACCCACCTTCCTCTCCACCAGAGCCCGCATGGGCCTCAGCTCCCGATCCACCAGCTCGATCCGCTTCTTCAAATCCCCATCAGATCAAACTCCCTGCATCACCACACATCACCGCGCATCACCGCATATCACCATGCATCAACCCACCTTCCTCTCCACAAGCGCCCGCATGGGCCTCAGCTCCCGATCCACCAGCTCGATCCGCTTCCTCAAATCCGCCACCTCCTTCTTGGTCGGGTCCTCTATTGTATCCAACTCCTGCAGAGGTAAAAAAGGTAGAAGAAAGGGTAGGGGGACAAGGTAAAAGGGGGGCACGTGGAGTGAATACAGGGTGAGACTGACAGTCACCTCCCTCTTGGTCGGATCCTCTATTGTCGCCAACTCCTGGTGGGTTTATAGGGGGAGGAGGACAAGGGAAACGCGGGTGAAAAGGAGGGCACGCTGAGCGAGTACAGGGTAAGACTGTCAACCACCTCCTTCTTGGTCGGACCCTCTATTGTCGCCAACTCCTGATGGGTTTATAGGGGGAGGAGGACAAGGGAAACGCGGGTGAAAAGGAGGGCACGTGGAGTGAATACAGGGTGAGACTGACAGTCACCTCCCTCTTGGTCGGATCCTCTATCGTCTCCAGCTTTCCTGATGGGTAAATAGGGGGGGGGGGACAAGGGGAGCGCAGGTGAAAAGGAGGGTACGCTGAGCGAGTACAGGGTAAGACTGTCAATCACCTCCTTTCTGAGCTACATGTAGACAGAGTTGTTTTGAGACGACTCAATCACCTCCTTTCTGAGCTACATGTAGACAGAGTTGTTTTGAGACGTCTCAATCACCTCCTTTCTGAGCTACATGTAGACAGAGTTGTTTTGAGACGTCTCAATCACCTCCTTTCTGAGCTACATGTAGACAGAGTTGTTTTGAGACGTCTCAATCACCTCCTTTCTGAGCTACATGTAGACAGAGTTGTTTTGAGACGACTCAATCACCTCCTTTCTGAGCTACATGTAGACAGAGTTGTTTTGAGACGTCTCAATCACCTCCTTTCTGAGCTACATGTAGACAGAGTTGTTTTGAGACGACTCAATCACCTCCTTTCTGAGCTACATGTAGACATAGTTGTTTTGAGACGTCTCAATCACCTCCTTTCTGAGCTACATGTAGACAGAGTTGTTTTGAGACGACTCAATCACCTCCTTTCTGAGCTACATGTAGACAGAGTTGTTTTGAGACGACTCAATCACCTCCTTTCTGAGCTACATGTAGACAGAGTTGTTTTGAGACGTCTCAATCACCTCCTTTCTGAGCTACATGTAGACAGAGTTGTTTTGAGACGACTCAATCACCTCCTTTCTGAGCTACATGTAGACAGAGTTGTTTTGAGACGACTCAATCACCTCCTTTCTGAGCTACATGTAGACAGAGTTGTTTTGAGACGACTCAATCACCTCCTTTCTGAGCTACATGTAGACAGAGTTGTTTTGAGACGTCTCAATCACCTCCTTTCTGAGCTACATGTAGACAGAGTTGTTTTGAGACGACTCAATCACCTCCTTTCTGAGCTACATGTAGACAGAGTTGTTTTGAGACGACTCAATCACCTCCTTTCTGAGCTACATGTAGACAGAGTTGTTTTGAGACGTCTCAATCACCTCCTTTCTGAGCTACATGTAGACAGAGTTGTTTTGAGACGTCTCAATCACCTCCTTTCTGAGCTACATGTAGACAGAGTTGTTTTGAGACGACTCAATCACCTCCTTTCTGAGCTACATGTAGACAGAGTTGTTTTGAGACGTCTCAATCACCTCCTTTCTGAGCTACATGTAGACAGAGTTGTTTTGAGACGTCTCAATCACCTCCTTTCTGAGCTACATGTAGACAGAGTTGTTTTGAGACGACTCAATCACCTCCTTTCTGAGCTACATGTAGACAGAGTTGTTTTGAGACGACTCAATCACCTCCTTTCTGAGCTACATGTAGACAGAGTTGTTTTGAGACGTCTCAATCACCTCCTTTCTGAGCTACATGTAGACAGAGTTGTTTTGAGACGTCTCAATCACCTCCTTTCTGAGCTACATGTAGACAGAGTTGTTTTGAGACGTCTCAATCACCTCCTTTCTGAGCTACATGTAGACAGAGTTGTTTTGAGACGACTCAATCACCTCCTTTCTGAGCTACATGTAGACAGAGTTGTCTTGAGACGACTCAATCACCTCCTTTCTGAGCTACATGTAGACAGAGTTGTTTTGAGACGACTCAATCACCTCCTTTCTGAGCTACATGTAGACAGAGTTGTTTTGAGACGACTCAATCACCTCCTTTCTGAGCTACATGTAGACAGAGTTGTTTTGAGACGTCTCAATCACCTCCTTTCTGAGCTACATGTAGACAGACAGAGTTGTTTTGAGACGTCTCAATCACCTCCGTTCTGAGCTGCTCTGTCTCAAACAACTCTGTCTACGCGAATACAGGGTAAGACTGTCAACCACCTCCTTTCTCAGCTCCTCTAGCTTCCTCGCCTCCTGCTCCACGCGAGTCACCTGCTGCCTGACGAGTCAACTCACTGGCTTGGCTGGGTCACAGCAATTTCCCTTCCAACACCCCCCCTCCTCCCTTCCACCAACACCCCCCTACCCCTCCCTCCTACCTTTCTGCAGCTGCTCTAGCTTCCTCGCCTCCTGCTCCACGCGAGTCACCTGCTGCCTGACGAGTCAACTCACTGGCTTGGCTGGGTCACAACAACCCCCACCCCCCAACCCCACCCACCCCTTGGCGGCCCTCACCTTCCGCAGCTGCTCCAGCTTCTTCGCCTCCTGCTCAACGCGCGTCACCTGCTGCGCCACGCGCTTCTCCACCGCCTCCTGCATGCGCCGCAGCTCCTCCTCCTTGGTCCTCAGGCTCGTCTCCGTGGCGTGCAGCTGCTGATCCTTGGCTGCGCGCTCCTGGCTCGCCGGGTTGTCTAACGGAACTTGCGTCAGCTGCCCGTCCGCCAGCGGCGGCGCCGCCACTGGGGGTGCAGACTGAGTAGACGGGCGCGGGGGTTGGGGGAATGGGGGGAGGGGGAGGGGAGAGGGAGGGAGAGGGAGGGAGAGGGGAGGAAGAGGGAGTAGAGAATGCAAATCGCTGCCTGCTCCACTTGCGTCAGCTGGCCGTCCGCCAGCGGCGGCGCCACTGGGGGGCCGGACTGAATAGACGGGTGCGCAGGAGGGCGAGAGGCAGGGAGAAGGGAGCGAGTGGGAGGGGGGAAAAGGGGGTTGGGAAAGTGAAGCTCTTGGAAAGACAAACTGTAACAAATTCCAATTGCTGAAAAATCACAAGGCATCATTGTGAGGCTTCAATGCCTTCCTGGCGAGAGTCTGAGTCCTACACTTGAAAAAACGCTGATTGGCGAAATCCGGGAATCTGGTTACCTGAAGACCTGGAAATTCAGGGATTTGGGAATCTGAATATATGAAAATATAGGGGGAACGGGCGGCTTGGCGGATTCATCGAGCACTGGAATGTCCGCCAGTGCTTTGGAATATCTGAAAACGTACGTCCGTTTTTCAGAATTTTCAAAAGTGATTAAGCGGGTGGAAGTACGCGTTGCGCACCAATTACATTCCATTGCGTAATCGATTAAATTTAGTGTGTATCAAAAGAATTAATAACTCACCCTTTGAGAGGCGGAGCCGCCCCACGCTTCCATTTGAACGGACATCGCTCGTTGCTTGGCGGGATCCGGCGAACCGGACAGCCTCGTCGGCTCCCCCAACCCCAGATGCCTTGCCGGTTCCGCGGGTCCCGAATGTCCGTTAAGACTCGCCATTCCGAACTGCCCGCTTTGGTTCGCCATGCCGAACTGGGCGGCCTGGTTCGGCATCCCAAACTGTCCGGCCTGATTCGGCATCCCGAACTGCCCTGCCTGGTTCGGCATCCCGAACTGCCCGGCCGAGTTCGGCATTCCGAACTGGCCGGAATGGTTCTGCATGGAACCACGCAGGCTCTGGTCTAATCCTGATAGGATGTTCTGCTCCATTGTCAGCAGACGTGGTCAGCAGACGTCAGTCAGAAGACGTGAGTCAGCAGACGTGAGTCAGAAGACGAGAGTTAGCAGACGTGAGTCAGCAGACGAGAGTTAGCAGCGGCGAGTCAGCAGACGGAACACGTCGGATTTCGTATCCAAGCTCTAATTTTTGCAGATGGGGAACGTCAATATACGCGACGAGCTCCGCGCTTAGAAGTGGAACTCCGGGGCTCTTAATACGTGTCTGAATGAATTGGTATTAACTTCATAATATATATCACATCGAGATACGCTTTGGAAGAGAGCCACCGTGTAGAAGGGACGAGCTTGCAACGCACAGGCTTGCTTTTGTTTCTATCGGCGTTGTTATTCAGCGACACCACTAGTAGGCTGACCAAACGAAGTTGCTGACTGAACGACACCGCGAGAGTTGCTAGGTTACGGACACTTTTCTAGCGAACAGAATGAAGAGGAGTTCAGCACAGATAGATAGCGGAGAAATGGAAGGGATAGTCCCGCAAAACACGGCGACCATATAACCTCGTCCTGCTTCGCAAAAGGCGGAAGAATCTAGGAATTGGAGCCAGGAATAACGTGAACAATGATGGATGAGGGGGATGTTCCAGCATTTGTCGAATGATCGATCGTTCAGTACGGTTCAGTAGCGTTTCACACGGTTTAGGAGACGTTCTGGCTTTTCACCGCCCTAAATCGCAATACACCTATCAGAAGAGTTCGTACCTGCCTAGAAATGTGAGGACGTTGGATCTCAAGCTGCCTTACCTCATGTCGTGTCAGATGTCTCATTAGCCTAAAGACCCTAATGAACCGTTATTTATCGCAAGTATTCATCTCTAAACCTCATACAATCCCGCGGATAGTTACAACAACATGCTGCCTCGTTGGCATCCAGGATAGGTATCGAGCAAGCTGTTCGCTTCGCGCCTTGGGAACTTGCTGCAGGGCTTCGGCACGGCAAATGAGAAACTCTTCGGTCTGACTGTGGTCTGGTTCGGATGACGTTCGGTGAGTATTTCTGACATCAGCGGTTTCGTTCGGCCCTGACAGCCCATCCTGCCAATCACAGAACGCAATTCGTAGGGTCATGGCGAAACTGTGAATCTCTAACACCGCTTTCCACTGTGTGGAACCGTCCTGAGACGCGAAGCATGAACTGTAATTTACGACCTGACCACGCCGTCACCAGGGCTGGAGTCTGTGAATCATACCCAGTTTGTAGCGCACGCATTTAGACTAAGCTACAGTTCGAATGTACTATTTCATAGCGTATAAAATTAAAACATTATCATTCATGTCTATGTAGTATTTCAGAAGAGTAGCCTAACGTCATCCCCAGTACCGGCTCGTTTTCTTCTTGAACTCTTCATCTTCCCGCCACTACTGCTCTCCTCACCCGCCCGGCACAAGGGAACCTCAGCCAAATCACCCTCTTCCATTCCACCACCCCCTGGCAGCGAACCCATAACCCCAGACTCAATATTCAGCTCACAATCTGAGCCGTCCATTTGCCTGCTCGTATCTACCTCTCGAATAAGAGACGAAAGCGAGCTCAATAGCAGAGAGCGTGAGTCTGCTTCCACAGCTGCCGCTGTTGCTGCTGATGTTGCTGATGATGATACAACTCCTCTTTCTGCACCAGCTGCTGATCCATCTGTTACTTCTGCTGCTGTTCCTGCAGCTTGCACTCCTGCTGCTGCTGCAGCGTTTTTCCCAGAAGCATATTCCGCAGCTGCTTCTGGTGCTGCCGGGAGGACAACAGATGGACCAGCAGCAACAGAGGAACCCTGTGGGACAGCAAATAGCGCTGCCACCTCTGCATCTACCGCATTCCCGTGCTCTTCAATACTGTCCCCACCGCTTCCATTACCCATACCTTGTGTGATTTCAGGAGGCATATATCTTCTACTATTGCTTCCAGCAGCACTACCCATGGCACTTGTTTCCGTAATGTTGTTGCTGCTGCTGCTGCCGCTAATGCCGCTGCTGGGATTCCGGCGAACCGGAACAGAGGAGAGGACAGCAGAGGAGGACGAGGACGTATACACCAACGGACCTTCCGACGAGCCGAAACCCCTGCCCGACTGGTGCTGCTCGCTCTCCTGACTCCCGCTCACCTTCCCATTCTGCTGCTGCTGCGCCTGCTTCTGCTGCTTCTTAGACTGCTTCAGCAGACTCTGCTTCTGTTGCTGCTGCTGCTTGTGCAATCTGGAAGGAGGAGGGGCCTCCAGCACCCCGACCACAGCAACCGCTCTGCTGCTGCGCCTGCGCTCGCGCGAGTGGTACACGAAGCAGAGAGACACCACCCACACGAAGACAAGAGCGCCAAGGAGGGCGAAGAAGGTGTGAAAGTACTTGTCTCGCTCGTCGACTATCAAGTCGAGCGTGGAGTTGGATGGGATGATGAGGGGCGACGTGAAGTTGGTCCGCAGCTGCTCCGATGGACCTGAGTGGGTGGGGGTGGGGGGAGAAGTGGGGAAGAGCACGGCAGGGGAATGAGAGGAGGCAGGAACAGAGGGGGTCCCGTTCATCCACTACGAGATCGAGTGTGGAGTTGGATGGGATGATGAGCGGTGGTGAAGTTGGTCCTCAAAATCTTGCGCTTCCACCAGCGTCTGACAATTCGCCCCAGTGTGCGTGAAGGGGCACTTGCAACTGGTGGCGTTGGCTTCCTCTGAGAACACGCACACGCCTCCGTTGGCCCTTGCAGACGGTGCCCTTTACAATCATCCCCATTATTAGAACCACAACTCACCAAAATCCTGTGCTTCGACCAGGGTCTGGCAGCTCGCCCCAGTGTGCGTGGAGAGACAATTGCAGATGGAGGCGTTGCCTCCTCTGAGAACACATACTCGTTACACTCAGCTCCGTTACGTTGCTCATTACCGCACGTAATCACACTACACTCACCGAAATCCTGTGCCTCCACCAGGGTCTGGCAACTCGCCCCAGTGTGCGTGGAGAGACACTTGCAGATGGAGGCGTTGCCTCCTCTGAAAACACGCACATGCCTCCGTTGGCACTTGTAGATAGCACCTTTTACAATCATCCTCGATATTAGAACCACAGGACTCACCGAAATCTTGAGCTTCCACCAGCGTCTGACAGCTGGCGCCAGTGTGCGTGGAAGGGCACTTGCAGATGGTGGCGTTGGCCTCCTCTGAGAACACACACATGCCTCCGTTGGCGCACCAAAGCCCCGTGCTGCAGGCCACCACAGGCGTCTGACACTTGGAGCCCTGAGGTGTGAGCAGAGGCAGAGTTGGTGGGGATTTAAAAAAAAAGTTTATATTCTCGGGACCCAAAAACACGCACATGCCTCCGTCATCGCACCAGAGCCCCGTGCTGCAGGCCACCACACAGGCGTCTGACACTTGGAGCCCTGCGGTTGGAGCAGGAGTAGAGAAGGGGTGGAGGAGAGAGGGGAAAGGGCGAGCGGGGGAGAGGGGAGAGAGGAGGGGGGTGGGAGGGGAGGGGGAGAAGATGGGGAGGGAGGGGCAAGAGGGGTGCCGAACATTCCTCCTCATGAACAGAGGAGTAAAGGAACAGCGAACATCCCTTCTCATGCCGTTTTTTTGGTCCCTCTGGAACTTGTATTGTGAGGGCACGAGCAAAGAAAGCCCTAAGCACCCAGCACGACGCGTCTCCAGCTTTTGTAATCGACGCATGTACGATATACGCGAAAGGGCCGCACCTGGAACTGATGTGGGCACGAGCAGAGAAACCCTTTCTCATGCCCCCTGTTTTCTCTCCTGACGGCTCATCTGGAACTTGTGAGGGCACGAGCAGAGGAACCACTGGGCGCCCATCGCTAATCGCATATCCCGCTGTTCTAGTCGACTCACGTACGATGTACGGGAGAGGGAGCCGCACCTGGAACTTATGAGGGCACGAGCAGAGGAACCCCTGAGCACCCATCGCGACGCATTTCCCGCCGTTCTCGCACCACCACGTGCCGTTGCATCGTACGGCCTCCGTTTGACACGATTTCCCGCGGAAGTACAGCCCCGTCTCGTGATCGTACGGCTGACACTCGCACTCAGGCTCTTTCGTTTTAGGGTTCAGCTTACACGTGCCGTTGTGCAGGCATCCCGGCTCGCACACCAGGTGCAGATTTCGCGGAACGGTCCGCGCTGTAACGGGAGATGATTGTGACAGTAACGAGAGGACGACAACGAAGATGGAGGCTACGAGGAGGACGGGTGGAGAAGAAAAACTTCTCATACGCGGAAGCCGTAAGTTGGAGCATAGCCGTGACTTTCTGAAGGATCGATGCATGGCTGCGAGTCGTAAGTTGATTCTAAAAATGCATCTGTACTAATAGCCCGGACTACCGCCAAGCTTTCGACGCCGATGCTTTCAAATCGAACCTGGACGCAAGAATATGGTAAAGAAAACAACCGTAGATTTAAGGAGGCTTGTGGAGTGGACTGCTCGAAACGACTTCGTACTGGATTTTAATAATCTCGATTAATCTCTAGACTGCGGAGCTGCAGAACGAGCATGTAAGGAACGATCGTTCACTCGTGCAAGGGAATGGTGCGCAAGTATTCGAGGTGAGAACGAGTGCGAGCTAGCAGTGAAAGAAAGGCCCAAAGACCACATGCTAATCGAGGGACTAAACTGAGCAACAAAACGCAGACTACTGCCTACCTAGAAGTAGCAACAACAGCTTCGCTTCGAATATGGCTCGCTCACAGCTTTTTTTTATCAATAATTGCTGAACGATCGAGATTGGCTGCTGAACACCATGCAATGCACATGGCCAATATCAACTGAATGACGCGAGCAGTCGAACTGACTGGCTGGACGGAACGGGGACTGATGACTCGTCTAAAGAAATGTGCCTAGAAAATATATATTGCGTTCGTTTTCTAGTCATGTATCACGGTTTTGAAAGGTATAGCGCGTTGGTACCAGGCTGAAACGCACGGAACAAGAGCGTCAGAAGGTGACAAAGCCTCCCTGGAAGATGTGCTTATGTGGAAGGATGCTCTTGTCGAATGCTGAACTGAACGAGACGGAACGTAAACAGACTTGTCACATGCAAATTTGGGTGAAGCGATCACGTTGGGGCTCTTGCGCCTTGTGGAAAACCCTTCGACCGTTTCCTAACTTCACAAAATGCTCAGTCTTCACCAGCACCACCAATGCAGCATAGTGTTCGATTAGCTGACCCAAGTACTCCCAACTGTGCAAACGAAACTGCCCAGCCAATCAGTCCGTGGGGAAAAGATTTTGTACGTCAACCGCTCACAACCAAAACGAGTTACTGTACTCAAAGCTCGCAGTTCCGACCTTCTAGGAGCCGAAACCGCGGTGCGCTGAGCCGAAACGACTAGGTAAACCGTCGATCGGAGAAAGCTGAACGATTGGGTAGGCCGCCGCACTCAGCGTGGCGGACGTACGGTGTCTCTACCCTACAGTTACAAAAAACGGACTTGCTGCTTTTAAACTGGTACACGTTTCTGGCGCATCCCGTGTAAGAAATTAGGGGTTTCGCTGAATCACTTGCAAACCCAATAAACACATGCTCTGCTTGAATTTCTCAACCATGGAGATACCTCAACAAATCCCAACCTGCGCCGATTCTCTATTCACAAGGACCCACGCAGTTCAGTTTCACCTCTATGATAGGATATAAGCCCAATTCGGTACTTTCATTATATTGTGTCTTAGTTGCATTTGATACAGCTGCTAATGGCTGTGGACAATCGCGTGTAGTTGCTCATTTATAAAGTGGCCCGAAAATGTGGAGACAACACCAAGCTACACCAGAAGCTCAAGCGCGCCATGAGACTCTCGCCATGGACGAGGACGGTGCCAGCGATGCAGGAACGAGTCAGTTCTGTGCTCGCACGCGACGTGAGCTCGATGCAGAAGACGAGCTGCATAAAGCAACAGCTACGCCAACACCCATGAACGACTCCAAGATACGGCATCACTAGATAAACGCTTACAAGGTACCGTATTGCTTGCTGCCTGCTGTAAAAACCGGCAGGAAGAACTCGCTTCGCTTGAGCCGACGTGGCATAAGATGTCTTCGATAGACAACTCGGCTCTCGTGGTTTCGACCATTTAGTCGCGTGATATTGCTCCCACCAATTCTCTAATCGCAGCTCCCCAGACCCAACAGCAGAAGGAAACGGGAAATCCCCAGAATGGAGTTCACAAACGTACAGAACTACATGTAGTAGGACTTGGGTTACAGCATTGGTACAAGCAAAGTAAGAGTACAACAACCTATCTACCACGAGAAAGTGTATTTTTATTTCTTTCCACCCTTCCCGCCCTAACCACCCTTGCCCCCCTTCCCTCCTTTCCCACCCTTGCCGCCCTTTCCAGCCTTTCCGCCCTTTCCAGTGCTTGTTGTGCCCGCGGTCTGGCCCTGATCCTGCCTGCCTGCTCCCCCCTGCTCCCCGCCAGCACCCCCTTGCTCTCCCCCAGGGCCTTCCTGCTCACCGCCAGGACCTCCCTGCTCACCGCCAGGGCCCCCCTGCTCTCCGCCAGGGCCCCCCTGCTCTCCGCCAGGGCCCCCCTGCTCTCCGCCAGGGCCCCCCTGCTCTCCGCCAGGGCCCCCCTGCTCGCCACCAGGCCCGCCCTGCTCTCCGCCAGGCCCAACCTGCTGGTTACCAGGCTTCCCTCCCTTTCCTCCCTTGCCCCCTTTCCCTCCCTTTCCGCCCTTCCCTCCCTTCCCACCCTTCCCTCCTTTGCCTCCCTTTCCGCCCTTTCCGCCGCCCACCCCAGGATCGCCGGGACCACCCACCCTAACGTCGCCGCCACTGCCTGTATCTCCTCCATTTCCGGTATCTCCGCCAATATCTCCGTCACTGCTGGTATCGCCATTTTCGATATCTCCACCAATGTCTCGGACACTGCCCGTATCCCCGCCATTGCCGGTATCTCCGCCAGGGCCCCCCTGCGCTCCGCCAGGCCCGCCTTGCTGGTTACCAGGCTTCCCTCCCTTTCCCCCCTTGCCCCCTTTCCCTCCCTTTCTGCCCTTGCCTCCCTTCCCACCCTTCCCTCCCTTTCCGCCCTTGCCTCCCTTTCCGCCCTTGCCGCCCATCCCTGGACCGCCGGGACCGCCGGGACCGCCGGGACCAACGTCGCCGCCACTGCCCGTATCTCCCCCATTGCGGGTATCTCCGCCAATGTCGCCACCAATATCTCCGCCAATATCTCCGACACTACCGGTATCTCCGCCATTGCCGGTATCTCCGCCAGTGTCTCCGCCGAGGTCTCCGCCAATGTCCCCACCTATATCTCCGCCGCTTCCGGTATCTCCACCAAAATCTCCGCCAATATCCCCACCAATATCTCCGCCACTGTCAGTATCTCCGCCATTACCGGTATCTCCGCTAAAATCTCCGCCAATGTCCCCACTAATATCTCCGCCACTACCGGTGTCTCCGCCAAAAACTCCGCCATCTCCGCTGACAGACGAGGTAGAGCGAAATAGAATGGGTGTTGAAAATGGATCCACCTTCTTCAAGAGAGAGAGGGCCCTAAGGGCCAGACTGCGCCGCGGAGAGAAGCTCCTTCCAAACGCTGCACGAATAGCAAAAGATGAAAGCGTCAGTTGAAATTCATGGTGATTCAGAGTTTTGGAATAAAAGGAAGAGAAGTGGAGAGAAGCTCCTTCCAAAAGCTGCGCGAATCGGAGAAAATGCGAGAGTATTCAATACGACTTTCTTAAAAGTCGTCTCTCAAGTTGAGACGACTTTTAGAGCTCTGGATGAGTATCAGAAACTAAGTCAGAACCGTGCAAGAAGAACAGGGCAAAAGGAAGAAAGTGAGAGGAAACGGAAGCGGTATGCGGTGGAAGGAATGTGAGGTGTTGGTGAAAAGCGGTTGATACGAGGATCGAGAACTTACCAGGAGCGAAACACTCTCGCGCCTCTCAAAACAAATTTGGTTTCTCAGAGAAAACTGAGGTGTTGGTGAAAAAAACTGGTGATACGAGGCGCGTAATCTTACCAGGCGCGGCGGACTTTCGTGCTGGCCATATTATTTTATTCGCCATAGATACGAATGTGAGAATTGAGGAATGAATGAACTAGCAAACAGGTGGGTACGAGTAGGAAAACCTAAAAGTGTTGTACCCCATATTGTCTACCCCACTACAGCCTACACAGACTATAGCATATGAGTTTGACACACCCCCATAGGCAAAGTGGGGGAGAACAAGAGGTCACAAGACCAGTCAAGCAAAGCAAAGCAAGCTCAGGGTGGATCACAACGTCACCACACATTCCGAGCACAAGGTCAAGGCCACAAGGCCAGTTCACATGCAAGACCATATATAAAGGTAAACAAGCAAGTGCAGGTATAGAAAGATCACAGTACAAGCAAGGTCAAGAAGTGAGCAAGTGAGGCCAAGTAGGCACAAGACCTAGCATCGTACAGAAGCGCTGATGATCACAAGGCGGAAGTGCCTTGGTAAAGATATCAGCAGTGTTGGCCTCAGAGGCCACGTAAGCAAGGCGCAGCTGACCACGCTGCTGCAGCTCACGAGCAAGGAAGTAGCAAAGAGCAATGTGCTTCATTCTGTGCTCCAGTCTGTGCTCCCGACACAAGGCAAGCATGGCCTTGTTGTCTACGTACAGAACTGGAGGAGAACGAGGCGACTCTCCTAGGTCAGTCAGCAGGTAGGTGAGCCAGCGTAGCTCCTGTGCAGCCATGGCCCCCGCGTAGATCTCAGCCTCACAGCTGGAGCCGAGAACAGAAGACGAGCGGGTAGACCGCCACGAAACAGAGCCGGAACCAAGGCTGAAGGTGTAACCCTGTGACGACCGCTGCGTAGCCTGGTCGTCAGCCCAAGAAGCGTCTGCGTGACCTGTGAGGACCACTCGACGTCGCCCTCCAAGCACTAGCCCCATGCCCGACGTACTGCACAAGTAGCGCAACACCCTCTTCGCTGCAGCCATGTGCTCTGGTCGGTGTCTCCCAGGAGCAACATAGCGTGCCAAGATGCTAAGAGGGTATGCTAGGTCAGGTCGTGTGCAGGTCATCAGGTACATGAGGCAGCCAACAAGCTCTGGGTACGGGCCATTCGGCTCTACGGACTCATCCGAAGGCAGAGCTGAGAGCGAGTGGCGAGTAGACAGAGGAGTGGCCTGAGGCGAGGAGTACGTAAAGTCGAAGCGCTGAAGGACCTGCTGCACCATGTGTGACTGAGTCAGGGTAATGGTGCGCTGTGCTCTGTCCCGGGTGATCTGCACGCCAAGGTAGCTGCGCAGTTCACCCAGGTCTGTGCACGTGTGTCTCTTCTGCAGCTCGGACTTCACGTGGGCGAGTCCAGTAGTGTCAGCAGTGGCAAAGACCAAGTCGTCGACGTACACGAGGATGTAGAACGGCGGCAAAGAGGTGTCGGTGCGTAGAAACAGCGACGGGTTGGCAGTAGAAGGAGCAAACCCAAGAGCCGCAAGTGTAGTCCTCAGTGTGTCGTGCCACTCACGGGGCGCCTGGCGGAGACCGTAGACTGGCCGCCGGAGGCTCCACTGGGTACCAGGGGGAAACGACCCAGTGAAGCCAGGTGGGCGGCGCAGCCAGATCTCCTCGTGCAGGCTGCCCTGCAGGAAAGCTGTGCTGAAGTCAAGAGAGTGAAGCTCGTAGTCGCGCTGAGCGGCTATGTGCAGCAGCACCCGAAGAGTGGTCATCTTCGGGGTGGGAGAGAAGGTCTGAAAGTAGTCAACTCCCTGCCGCTGACTGAAGCCTCGAGCCACGTAACGCGCCTTGAAGACAGGCGGAGAACCCGGCGACCGCTTCACCCTGAAAATCCACATGCCACTGACAATGTTCGCCCCAGGTGGGGGAACCTCGTCGACGTAGGTGCCTGTGGACTTCCAGGAAGCCATCTCTGCGTCCATGGCTGACTGCCACTGTGAGGAGTAGGGACCCTCGATCGCCTCAGCGTACGATCAAGGAGTCGGGATGTCTGGTGCATCCGGGTCTCCCTCAGGGGCAATCAGCGTGGACACGAGATGAGGCAAAGCAGCAGCAAAACACTGGAACTCCTCCTGCCTGTCCTCAAGGACGTCCGTGCTAAGAGCACACTCACCCCCGACGGACGGAGGACAGACAGACTCAGACTCAGCAACAAGACTAGTGGCGTAGTCTAGACGACAGCGAGCAGCAAAGTCGACAAGCTCAGCAACCAAGGCAGACGCAGTAGTGGACTCAAAGGAAGGGTCAGTGACAACAGTAGCGAGGAGACGCGTGACAGTAGGAGTGGCAGCACGAAGAGAGTCAGACTCCGGGTCAGCAAGAACAGGAAGAGAGGACTTTGGAGGAGACGGCAACGGGACACGCAGAGGAGCAGTGGAAGGACGCAGTGCCATCTGGTGTGTGCCTGGGACCGCAGGAGGACGCGGACGCGGAGCACGGCGACTAGTGCGAGCAGCACAAACAGGCGACGCAGGACGAGATGCAGGCTCACGACGCTCAGCAAGACCTCCAGTAGGACCAGTGTAGGGAGAAGGAGCAGGCAAGGGAGAGGCGGGCTGTAACTGCGACCGCGACTGGACAGGCTGTGGACACTCTAAGGGAGGAGCAGGACCAGTAGAGGGCGGGAGACCAAGAACCTGCTCAAGGAGCGGAACGAAGTACGGCCGCGGCCGCGCAGCGCCTCCAGAACCAGCAGGGACAGCACCAGTACCCCCAGCGGCAGCACCAGTGCCAGTAGCACCTCCAGCTCCAACAGCGCCAACTCCAGCACCCTCAGACGTACCAGCGCCAGCAGCACCTCCAGCGCCAACACCCCCAGCAGCTCCAGCTCCAGCAGGACCGTCAGCTCCAGTACCGCCAGCAGCTCCAGCAGTACAACCTCCAGCAGCCCCAGCAGCACCCCCAGTCCTAGCAGCTCCAGTACCGCCAGTACGAGCACCTCCAGGACCAGCAGCAACAGTAGCACCTCCAGCTCCAGCAGCACGGCTCCAGCGCCGGGCAAACCACTCGCGCAGCTCCTGCGGAGAGAGGAGCTCCCGCCTCGACGAAGCACCGCCAGAGGCCACACGAGCAGACCCAGCACCTCCAGGCTCCGCACCCCCAGGCTCCGTACCCCCAGGCTCAGCACCCCCAGGCTCCGCACCCCCAGGCTCAGCACCCCCAGACTCAGCACCCCCAGGCTCAGCACCCCTAGACTCAGCACCCCCAGGCTCCGCACCCCCAGGCTCAGCACCCCCAGACCCGGCACCCGCAGGCTCCGCACCCCCAGGCTCAGCACCCCCAGACGTTACCCGCAGGCTCAGCACCCCTAGCAGCACCAGAGTCAACAGCTACCTCGACAGGCTCGACTGCGTCTACCTGGGACACACCTGACGGGGCAGGACCCTGAGGGGGGAGAGGGACTACTGGGGGAGGACCTGGCGCAAGGAAGAGCGGCGGCGGGGGGAGGGGCGCAGTGCGGTAGGGGAAGAGACGTTAGTAAGGCACCGACTCGTCAAAGGTGACGTCCTGGGAGGACAGAACACGGCGCGAGGTGGGGTGGTAAAACTGCCAACCAGGCGCGTCAGGGGGGAAGCCAAGGAAGACGCAGGGAACAGCACGGGGGGACAGCTTGTCCGCAGACAAGTCGCGGACAAACGCCCGAGATCCCCAGACCCGAAACGCAGACGCATCGCCAACCTTCCCCGTCCACCGCAAGGTGGGGGAGGTCTCTGGCAAGGAGACCCGGGGCTGTAGGTTGAGCTGATGCGCTGCGTACTGAACCGCAAACGGCCACAGAAAATGGGGAGCAGCCGCATGGATCATGGACGTACGAGCGACGTCCATGACCATGCCAATGCGGCGCTCAGCAATCCCATTTTGCTGTGGAGAGGCCGGAAGCGGAAGGTCTGGCGGATGCCCTGTGCACGACAGAAGGCTCCCAGACGGGCAGAGGAAAACTCCCCGCCTCTGTCAGAGTGCAGACGCAGAACAGGAAAGTCCGAGCCGAAACTCTCTCTGAGCTGGAGACGAGCTGCGCGGATCCAGTCGATCAACACCTCAGTGACGTCACCCTTGCTGCGCAAGGGGAACACCGTGGTGTAACACGAGTAGTCGCCAACCACCAACAGGAAGTAACGCTCGTGACCCTGGCCACGGACGCGGGCGGGGCCCCACACGTCCATGTGAAGAGTCTGCAGGGGAGCCTCTGTCGGAGGAAACTCGGAGGAGTGAGGGGCGGCGCGCTGCCGCCCCTCGACGCAGGGAACGCAGGTAGGGGCAGGCCCCGGAGGGAGGGGAGGGAGGGACCGGGGGAGACCAGAGATAAGGACACGGGAGGCCATGCCTCGGAGATGAGGCAGGGAGGGGTGACCAAGGCGGTGGTGCCAAAGGAGGGTCTGGTGGGACAGGAGACGACACGAGCAGGGAGCAGACTCAGGACTAGACCTGGACGCTGCAGCAAACACCTGACTCGACGCAGCTACCTGACCAGACTCAGCAACCGGAGGAGACTCAGTAGTCAGTGTGTACAGGCTCGACCCCGGCTGACGGGTAAACGTGGCCAAGTGTCGGCCCGTCCGAGCACACGTACAGTGGGTCACCCGCTGACTCGCAGGAGTGAACTGGTCAACTCCCCCATCCTGTAGATCAGCACCACTCACCAAGTTCGTAGAGAACGAGGGGAGGTAGAGACCTGACAGGGTGCCAGAGGGGGCTGCCGGACACGGTAAGACAGTGGAGAAGCGAGCAAGGACAGGACCCCCAGAGGGGTCCGCCAGGGAGGCCGCAACCGGCCGACTAAGCGGTGTAAGCGTGGTGCGGTCTCGAAAGAAGGAGCGGGAAGCACCCGAGTCAAGGGTGAAGGTGTGTAAGGCCTGAGCCGACGTGGTACCTGAGAGAGCAGACTCACCAGCACCTGGGGCAGCAGACGCACTAGCACCTAGAACAGCAGCCTCACCAGCACCTAGAGCAGCAGCCTCAATGGCCGGGTCAGGCGGAACACACAGGTAACAGTCACCCTCATCACTAGTAGACACATCATACATGGCAGCAAGAATAGCATCATAGTCAAGATCAAAGATAGCAACCCCCGCCCTA